AAATTATGGCTCGCGGGTCTCGGTTGGGATGAACTACTTACTGAACAATTAACGGAAGAATGGCGTACTTATCGGGAACAGCTAACATTACTTACCGAAGTTAATATACCTCGTTGGCTGGGGAAAACCATAGAAACCGACGTAGAGCTCCATGGATTTTGTGACGCGTCGAAGGTAGCGTATTCCGCTGTAGTATACATGCGACTAACTAAAAACGTAGGAGAGGCCAAAGTGTCATTGGTGGTTGCAAAGACTCGCGTGGCACCAATAAAACAAGTTAGCATTCCTCGCTTAGAGCTGTGTGGGGCAGTTCTCCTGTCACGACTATTGATGGAAACTGCTGAGGTGTTGAATATACCCAAAGATAAGATTAAAGCGTGGACAGACTCTACTGTGGTGTTAGCTTGGATCAACAGCCACCCCAGTAAATGGAAAACTTTTGTCGCCAATAGGACATCCGAAATCTTAACCACAATGACAGCTTCGCAGTGGTTCCACGTGTCGACTAAAGATAATGCGGATGTTGCCTCTCGAGGGTTGTCACCAAGTTTGTTTAGGCAAAATACAATGTGGTTTTCAGGACCACAGTTTCTGAAAGAAACGGCAATTAGTTATTTTAGACCAAAAGAGTTAGAGATCAATTTAGAACAGTCGATTAAAACTCATGTAGGAGTTATTATATCAAATGATTTTGACTTACTTGAAAGATTTTCTTCATTGTCAAAGTTATTAAAGGTTGTTGCATATCGTCGGCGATTCCTAAACAGAGATGCCAGAAGCAAACTTTACCTGCAAAAGAAAGAGATACATGAAGCATTAGAATGTTGTATAAAGATAGTACAAAAGAAAGAGTTTTCCACAGAGTACAAACAATTATATGATAAATCAGACTTACCTTTGAAAAATAGTACACTCAAATCCTTATGTCCTTACCTTGATGACAAAGGCATTATGAAAGCTCAGGGACGAATAGATAAGGCTCCACTAGATGAACTAATAAAGCACCCCATAATCTTGCCCAAGAAGTCACACTTTACCCTACTCATAATTGCGGACGCTCATAGTAAAACTCTACATGGAGGTCCACAATTAATGATTAATTATTTGCGAACCGCTTATTGGATCATTGGTGTAAGAGAACTGGTGAAGCTATACGTTCGCAAGTGCATCATTTGTGCGAAACAAAGAGCCACTATTCGCAATCAAATGATGGGGTCGCTTCCATCGATTCGATGCTCCCCTGCAAGGCCGTTCCTGCACAGCGGTGTTGATTACGCAGGTCCAATAAACATTAGAACCACTAAAGGTAGGGGACACAAAGCGTACAAAGGCTACATATGTTTGTTTGTGTGTATGACTACACGCGCTCTTCATCTCGAAGTAGTCAGTGACATGACAACACAGGCATTCTTAGCTGCCTTTAGACGATTTGTGTCTCGACGAGGCCACTGTTCAAAGTTGTGGAGCGACAATGGTACCACTTTTGTTGGTGCTTCTAGGGAACTTCAGCAAATTTCAACTTTGCAGTCATCCATAGCAGAAAATTTAGAAGCAAATGGCACTGAATGGCACTTCATTCCCCCCCATGCACCCAATTTTGGCGGTCTATGGGAAGCGGGGGTGAAGTCCACAAAATACCATATTAAGCGCGTAATAGGCGAGTCTACTCTCACATATGAAGAGCTCACTACATTCCTTACTCAGGTCGAGGCTTGCTTGAATTCACGACCTATTAGTGTTATTCATTTAGACGATCCAGGAGAATCTATGCCTTTGACTCCGGGACATTTTTTAATCGGAGAACCGCTTGTTTCTGTACCGGATTACAATTACGAGAATGTCTCAGTAGGTTCTCTAACAAGGTGGCAACTCGTGCAGCGAATGCTGCAATCCTTTTGGAAGCGATGGTCCAATGAATACCTTACGAATCTAATGAACAGATATAAATGGTCTTTCATTGTTCCTGAACCAAACATTGGAGACGTCGTTCTAATTAAGGAGGACGATCTACCTCCAAGTCGTTGGATGTTAGGACGTGTAGTCGAAAAACATCCAGGGGATGATAAAGTCACTCGGATTGTCACATTAAAAACCAAAACAAGCATTATTAAGAGGCCAACTAACAAATTGTGTATTTTGCCAGTAGCAGATAAATAGTACTTTAATAACTACATGCTTTGTATCATCTCAACTTGTGATGCGTGATAAACATTTTTGTTTAGTTGTAAGGTTTATTTAATATAGTTTTTGTTGAAGATTTTTCTCACTTTGTCTACAAGTTCTATTTATGTTTAGATACTATTAAGTTTCCAAGGTTTATTTAATGTTAAGAAAAAGTTGTAATGTTACCAGTTAATGAATTGTATTTTTGTTAAACCTGTGCAAAATGTTACTGTGCAAAAACCTATTTTCATATTTTTTAGTTATATTTAGTTTAAGGACAAATGTTAAGAAGGACATTCCTCCACTAAATGTCCTTGGTGGGCGGTATGTTCAAGACCAAACTTATTGTTAAAGTCAAAATAAATATTATTATTCAAAAGTTGTCTCATGGCTCGATAGATGGCGTTGCCGCAATTAAAATCGAGCTATGGTTTCGTTACCAATGAAACTATAAGGTAAAATTGATTTGTAAGACCAAGTAGTTCAAAGTTCATAGTACAAGTACAAAGTACAAATATATATACCAGCTTAGAACAGTACACAGTGGTGGTTTTATTTATATTCATCCCATCTTGTGTGCTAGTAGGTCAGCAGATCACCTAGTAGCTTAGCTAGGAAACACATAATGGATTTATACATATGATTAAATTAATAGTTTTGTTTTTTTTTCAAGTACTGAAAGCATCTAAAACCCCATTCATCTGAGTTACTGTTTATTCTATGTATAATGGCGGCGCTCTTGGCAATAGAGCTCTTTATACTATGGTAGATACGCTGGTCACAGGTTTTTAGGCCACATGTGATTTTTTTAATTACTATAATTTTTAAAGGTATGTAATGGTGATTAATTTTATTTTAATATAAGCTTTGTTCTGCTTTATTATTACATTAACTATAATATGGAGGATAAGTAGACTGCTCAAAATATAGATAAAGCTTTATTCACCTTGCATTTCAATATGTCAACGCAGTGTGACTGATATCAAACAGTCGTCTTTTTTCCCAGTGAAATAGATTCCATGAAACTCGCTATAGAAACAAGAGAACAACACGTTACTGTATTGTTTAAAGTTTGACAACGACAATGTCCGCCTAGTTTTCATCTCTTATTCCTCCATGTCTGCACTTTATAATATCCAGTCTGCATATAAAGTATACACTTGAGTCTAGTATTCTAGAAATCTACATCCTCAAGTTTGACAAATAAATTCCAAAAATGTAGCAGCAAAATAGAAGTTGAGGATGAGGATTACCATTTATTTTAATTTAAAAATCACATAATCATAAGTATGTAAAGAATATTAGTTATTCTGTGAATTACTTTGTATCTAAACCAAGTTTTGCTGATTTGCTGCAACTATGTTTTTGCACATTGACAATATTGACATAAGTACCTAATTAGTGCTTTTTTTAAATGTACTTTTCTAGAAAGTTTATATTCACCGTTTATCTTAATTTTATTTTGAAGCAGATCCGAAATTTCTTTTTGCTAATGTAATTTTAAAATACATAATTAATATTCGGTTCTATATCTTCAAATCGCGGTGGGAGGGGGTGCGAGACTGATTGTTTGATATAATATTATGTCGCCTATACTCTCTACTTCTTCCCAACCCGCCATTTAATCTAATTGAACTATTTCATTTATTATTGTGCCGTAGTCCCAATCTAAATTTAGGACTGCGACACAATATAATGTAATATGTCATTATAGTATATTCTAACAGGTAATTTTAATAATAGCATTTCTGTCGTATCTGAAAGGTGTGGAAATTTCTTACAGAAACTTGTACTGTTTGGTAAAACCAGATTTAATTTGGATTGAAACAATAACACTTCTATCGATCTGTAGTACATGTAAATTAGTAATAATGTTAGAGAACTTTTTAATTAATGTGTTAAAATAGCAGGCCCTGTTCTGACTTACATTGTAATATCTATTTAAGATCAATCACAATAAAAATCTCTGACAAAAAACCGAAATTAATTGTACTTCCTAAATGTGACAACATCACAAGTTTATTAACTTATTACCCATATTATATTATGAGCTTATTAGGGTTCCGCACCCAAAAGGTAAAATGAGAACCCTATTATTAAGACCTCACTGATCATCTGTCTGGCACCTGGCTGTATCTCATTAACCATATATAACATCCATATAGCAACATTTCTGTTGCTGCTATAACAACATATACCTAAAAATAAAATGAATTTAAGGATTTTTCTGTAAGGGTAATGTTCCCATCATTTATTGACTGAATGAATAAAAGAATGTATTGGGCGTTTTTTTTTAAATAGCAGGTTTAAATGCTCTTTGCAAAAGAACTATGTATCACTGGTATGTCAATTATTATGTTTTTAGACTTACATGCGTAATTATTCGACGAGGAAATTGACTAGTTTCAAGCCATGCTAGAGGTTCATATTCATGAGCAGCAATCTTCTTCAGAGTTCTTCGTCAAATAATAACGTGAGTAAGCCGAAAAACATTACTATGTCCTTTGTATCAAATAATGCAATACTACAATATTTTATTTGCAACATTAGAGAACATTGTTCTTTGGAAAAGAATTAAAATCAACCCTTTTATGTTATTCTTTTTACCCTCCTTTGATATTATCTTTAGAAACAAGTGGCGACGATAAATTGAGAAAGGAAAGTACAGTTTTTTTTTTTTCAGAAAATATAATAAACAATCAAAACATAATAAACTTTATCGAACTATACAACAGAGAAATGTGATTTAAAATAAAATGATACCAATCGTATCGTTAATTAATATACATCTAAGAGCATATGTATAAATATGTACAGGTAAATATTTACTAGTAGATTTAGCGCTTGTCTGGCGTGGGCGGCGGCGTGGGCTCGGGCTCTGGCTGCGGCGCGGCGGGCGGCGCATCCCTTAGCTTGGCTCGCGGCCGCCACGCGTCCAGCAGCGCCTCCACGCGGTCCTCCGTGGGCCCCCAGCGCGCGAACCCCGCCGCGTTCTGCAGCCACACCACCACCGTGCCGCTGCCCCATCTGAAGTACACCTCGTTCCTGTGACATGTCATGTGTTACGTACGCTAGCCTAGATACCACCCCCTGATTCAAAACCAGTAACCTCTTTGATTTTACATACTAGTTACTTACATAATAACATTTAATTCAATCATGAAGCTATTTCTAAAAACATCTGGAGTCGCAAATTACGAAATATGTGTGAACCGACAGAATAACGGCCGAAATCATTAACCTATTTTAATACGAAATATTTGGATCGATTTAAATTCTTAACAAAACTTCTTACATTCAATGTAAAAAATCAATCTCGATCCAAAGATTTTAAATTGAGACGAGTTATTAATTTCCGCCTTATGTGACCATGTAAGGTATTTCGACAAAAGATAGGTTGGTGGGGCATTAACACATTCACTGCCCAGTGGATTTTCTCCAGTGCCCGAATTATAAGACATACTACAGTGCCCCGCACGCACTATTGCGTTCAATGTTTGCCCTTTTCGTGTGCCGGAAACTCATATACGCGTTCTTACGGCTCTCACCGTGTGCCCGAAACTCATATATGCGTCCGTTCGACTCTCGGCGAGTGCCCGTGACGCGTCTGTGCGTTTGTTATATACTTACGAAAATACGATAGAATATTATGTATCTGTAGATAAAAGTTAGGGTCATGACACACTGTAATGGAATTTATAATCCATAACATTATTTATTTTATGAAGTGAAATTGAAAAATTTATCTAAATATAAACTAAGGATGAACGTAATAATTCTATAGTTGGTAAGTAGGTTTATATTTAGAACATTGTTGTATTTATTATCAATAGGCTCACCCCCTATTACATGGGACTCATAACATAAATAGTGAAAAGTGGGTGTTACTTCTATGTGCACCTCTGCCTACCCCTTCGGGGATAAAAGGCGTGATGTTATGTGTTATGTTTTTGTATTTTTAACCGACTTAAAAAAATGAGGTTCTCAGTTTGACCTGTGTGTTTGTTTGTACGCGATTATCTCGCGATTAGTTGAACCGATTTTGATGCGGTTTTCAGAAAAACTTTTGTTACATTTAGGGGATGGGTTTAGTATACTAATTAACCAACTTCAAAAACATAAGAGGTTGATGTTGGATTTTTAAACGTATGTCACGACGCGATGCCAGTATATATAAATTATAGTCTTTCACCATAGATATTTAGAAAGGTACTTATTATCTCGTATAGGTTTATCCTAAAACATTTCGATAGTTGGCTATAGCACCTGGTGGACATGGTATTTAAAATCTTCAAAGGCACCGCCGTGCATTGTATTGCCGTTATCAGCAAACTAATGTGATTCTATTGTGCGTATGTATGTGTCATGTGAAATTTTAGGTTTCTTGGAAAAAGATGAAAATACCACCCACGGTGATCGTAGTCTTACGTGGATATATCTTTTTTAAATTGTTCTATATTTATATTTCGAAATAGCTAAACAAAATTTGTTGATTATTGCATTGGTAGTAGTAGAATAAGTTTTTTTTTGTAATTCGTATGTAGTGTGTAATGACCTTTATCAAAGAAATCAGATAAGGAAGTACATATGTGTAAATATGGGTTTCGAAACAATAGACCCTCGGGCGCGTCGACGGGCAGCAGGTAAAAAAAGGGTCAAATGAATAGAACGCATATTTGAGTCGCGGGCACATAGTGTCGTGTTACAAAACGCACAGACGCGTCATGGGCACTGAATGCGTTAAAAACAATGTTTCCCAAATATTTTTTATTTTTTCATGATGATCAATACGAAAGTGACAGATTTGTTTTGACGTTTTACATTTAACGAACACAATTTGATATTCATAACATGCATATTAATATCTGGAACAACATACCTAGTGGGTCACAAAATTGTTCCGTCTAGTAATCGAACCCATGACACACTACAACAATCAGGTACCAAATCACTGCGCCAACCGTGCAGTCGAATTAACATTCTTACAGTTAGCTTGAAACATTGTGAAAATCAGGGCATAAAGTCGTTCACTTACTGTCGGTAATCACGTACAATACTATTTGTTAAATCAACTTCTGGGGAAAATTGCAAACTACACCTATTATGAAATGGTTGTGAATTTGTGATGTTCTAAAATAATATTCAGAAATAAGTGAAATGGGCATACTTTTTACTTATTTCTGAATAAATAGCTAATATAATGTTTCATGAATGATAATGAAAATGAACAGTATTAGATACAATTTACAATTACTGTTACGTAATAATAAAACATATTAATTACACGTCGTTTGTCTTCGCTTCTCAGTGAAAGTCCGGTTCATTGGAATATTTTCGTTACCTCACTATTCCACGTACGTAACAAAAACTAAGTAAAAACCTGTAATTAACAGTGTAACAAGTTAAGTGCTTCAACACTTCGTTGTTATTTTGGAATTATTTAGCAATAATCTAAAGTTTCAGTGCAAGAAGACTGATAAGTACTTAAGGTGTTAGTTAGCCCACTCTCTACACCTAGCGATGTCGCGACTTTCAAACTAGTCAGTTATCATTAATCCAGATCGGATATTACAATTCTATCGGTGCGACCCCATTACTAAGTGAGTGACTAAAAACCCTTACCGACTCGTAGTCACATCAGATTATCACACCAGTATGACAAACAGGATTTTTTTTCTCGTTTGTCACACCTCTTATTTTTCTACACTATGTATACGATAATTACTAGTAGCAGTACCTTTACATTCTAATAAAATCGATCGGCGTTTGCCGTCTTTCGTTCTTTGGAGAGTTTATAATATTTTCTACTTTTAATTAATAAATAGGTAACATAACATAACATCACGCCTTTTATCCCAAAGGGGTATGCAGAGGTCCCCATTGCGGCACTTAATGCCACTATACAATGTAACACCTACTTGTTCACTATTTATATTATGAGTCCCATGTAATAGGGGATGAGCCTATTGCTATATACCGGGCACATGTCCAGACTTCGTGCTACTACTGAGATTTTTAAAAACCCAGTAATACTTTGCCCGACCCGGGAATCGAACCCGAGACCCCTTGCCCGTCGCACTTGCGACCACTCTAAATAAATAGGTACTAAAGCTCTATGTGGATGTCCAGTGGTTCATATGATAATGCAACCTTATCTAATAGGTACTGGCCGGTTGTAAATGCAATGCTTGAGTTAATGATCGAGGACGCTCGATAGTTTTCGAGGATACTCGAAGGTGATCGAGGACGCTCGATAGTTTTAGAGAATACTCGAAAGTGATCGAGGACGCTCAAAAGTGATCGAGGATGCTCGATAGATTTCGAGGACGCTCAAAAGTGATCGAGGACGCTCGATCGATTTCGAGAACGCTCGATAGTTTTCGAGGTGGCTCGATAGTTTTCGAGGACGCTCGATAGATTTCGAGGACGCTCGATAGATTTCGAGGACGCTCGAAAGTTATCGAGGACGCTCGATAGTGATCAAGGATGCTCGATAGATTTCGAGGACGCTCGATCGATTTCGAGGACGCTCGATAGATTTCGAGGGCGCTCAATAGTTTTCGAGGATACTCAAAAGTGATCGAGGACGCTCGATAGATTTCGAGGACGCTCGAAAGTGATCGAGGACGCTCGATAGTTTTAGAGGATACTCGAAAGTGATCGAGGACGCTCGATCGATTTCAAGGACGCTCGATAGTTTTCGAGGACGCTCAAAAGTGATCGAGGACGCCCGATAGATTTCGAGGACGCTCGATAGTTTTCGAGGATACTCGAAAGTGATTGAGGACGCTCGATAGATTTCGAGGACGCTCAAAAGTGATCGAGGACGCCCGATAGATTTCGAGGACGCTCGAAAGTGATCGAGGACGCTCGATCGATTTCGAGAACGCTCGATAGTTTTCGAGGTGGCTCGATAGTTTTCGAGGACGCTCGATAGATTTCGAGGACGCTCGAAAGTTATCGAGGACGCTCAAGTGATCGAGGACGCTCGATAGTGATCAAGGATGTTCGATAGATTTCGAGGACGCTCGAAAGTGATCGAGGACGCTCGATCGATTTCGAGGACGCTCGATAGATTTCGAGGACGCTCAAAAGTGATCGAGGACGCTCGATCGATTTCGAGGACGCTCGATAGATTTCGAGGACGCTCAAAAGTGATCGAGGACACTCGATAGTTTTAGAGGATACTCAAAAGTGATCGAGGACGCTCGATAGTGATCAAGGATGCTCGATAGGTTTCGAGGACGCTCGATCGATTTCGAGGACGCTCGATAGATTTCGAGGGCGCTCAATAGTTTTCGAGGATACTCAAAAGTGATCGAGGACGCCCGATAGATTTCGAGGACGCTCGAAAGTGATCGAGGACGCCCGATAGTTTTCGAGGACACTCGATAGTTTTCGAGGACGCTCAAAAGTGATCGATGATGCCCGATAGATATCGAGGATACTCGAAAGTGATCGAGGACGCCCGATAGATTTTGAGGACGCTCGAAAGTGATCGAGGACGCTCGATAGTTTTCGAGGATACTCGAAAGTGATTGAGGACGCTCGAAAGTGATCGAGGACGCTCGATAGATTTCGAGGACGCTCAAAAGTGATCGAGGACGCCCGATAGATTTCGAGGACGCTCGAAAGTGATCGAGGACGCTCGATAGATTTCGAGGACCCCCGAAAGTGATAGATTTCGAGGACACCCGATAGTTAATTTAATTTAAAGGTTTGCAACATGTGTTGATACCCTTCGCCATCTCATCTTCTGACTACGGCAGGTTGTGCTGGGGCGGCTGCCGCAAGTGCAGAAACCCTCAGCGGCACAAATATAATAACCTTATCGGAAATTACATGCGCTCATCGTTCGAGATATCAGTAAACGTCGACTCTTCGCGTGACCACAGGGCCGGGCTTTTCTTTTGTCAACGAATCAGCATTGCCATCCAACGTGGCAATGCTGCCAGCGTTCTGGGCACCTTTCCCATTGATATAGATAGGGATGGATTCTTTTATGTAGTTTACTTTTCAAACCAATTGATTTCTCTTTTCGCCATAAACTTAATTATAATAATTGACGCCCTATGACAGTTTTTTTCTACCTGTTTGTACATATTATTACTATACATAGTTAGTTTATTATTACTTTATGTTACACATTTAATTAAATAAAGGCATCAATTTAATAATAACTTGATAATTTGATGATTTTTAATTTAGCTCTAGGACAGCACTAGTTAAGCATAAATGGTGTAGAAAAATAAGTGGTGTGACAAACGAGAAAAAATATCCTGTTTGTCATACTGGTGTGATAATCTGGTGTGACTACGAGTCGGTAAGGCTAAAAACACAGAGCAGGCAACTTCTATAAATATAATAATTTTCACAGTTGTATCTGTTCTACCCATAAGTCTAGAGTAATAGTTTACAGCACCCCGACATATTTAGTTAGGTTAGGTACGTTAAAACTGCGACGCGGAGACAGCGAACGGAACGGAGGAGGCGCGGGTATGCCTGCTTCCTTCCTCCTCCCTAATAGCTAGTGGGGCAGGGGGCGGCCGGTCGGAGTAACCGGTCGCCCACGTCGCAGTGCCCCGAGAGGGGGCGGCATCCGCGATGTGCGCGGGCGCTGCCCGCAGGAGAAGGACCCCGGCGTTTCGCTAAGCCGGGCTGGCGCAGGGCAGGTCGCGAACGCAGTGCAAAGTGGGCAGCCCTCATGAGCGAGTGTCACAAAAAAAATACGTTACGTTAAAACTGTGACCCTCAACGCAGTCATTTTACTTATCCGCCCTTGAAAAAGTAATTGAAATTTTTATTCTGTACACTAGCTGTTCCCCGCGACTTCGTCCGCGTATAATAATGACGTCTGGCAAATTTTGGAATGGAATTCCAATCAAATAGTACAGCGGTTGAAAACTCTCAGGCGTCATTTTCAGAGTTTCAGACTATCGTCGCGTCGTTGTACCGAACTCAACCCAGAGAAGTTCAATGGTTTAAAAAATTGGGAAACCCAGGAGATTCACGCAGTTCCTGTCCCGTGGGATTTCCGAGATAGACCAATCAACATACGTCCTTTCCAGTGCCAGTGTCTCAAACCACCGGGCACAATTTTTTTTATCTTGTGTCCTCCTGACGCCTGCCCTCAGTACCTACTTTAAAAGAGCGCGAGCGAAACTGTGGGCAGAAGCTTATACGTTTTATTCATGGAAATGGACATGAATAAAACGTATTCCGTTAATGAAATTCATATTTTTTCCTTAAAATCTTCTGATGCAGCCAAATATTATTACCTATTAGTCCTTGAAAACAGTTTTCTACTGGTATTCAAAGGCTTAATTAAGCAATATAAGGAGTTTTTTCACACATTGGGTTACATTTATCAAAATTTTTACACGGTTCAGATGACCAGCAAATTTAAGGTATCTAACGTATATAACCGTACATGTTTATATTACCCCTGAGGGTCTAGTGTTTTTTTTTTACATTTGATGGGCCGACGTTTGGCCACTATCTCGCCTAGTGGTAAGCGATGATGCGGCCTACGATGGATCACGTCTGCCCATAATCAACCTATTCACTCGGGCCTTGAAGACACCCAGGTTATAACCGTTATAACCCTAGGAAACACAGACTCTGGCAAAGAATTTTACTCCTTAGCAATACGCACAAGGAAGCTCGATGCGAAGCGCTTCGTGCGTGTGGGTAGGACGTCCACCATGACCATGATAATGTAAACTATGTTTTATATGAGTTGACAGGAAACCAATACACAATTTTTTTTTTTGGTTCTGATCCTGAGGGACTTTGAGTGGGCTAAACGAATGTATCTATTATGCAGTTGTAGTTGTTTTATGAAATGTAATGTTATGAACTTATGATACAAATGCCCAAAATCTATCTCATCACACACATACAATAAAAATCTTGACATATAAACAGGAAAGTCACACAAAGCATTGATTTAAGTTCTCATAAAATTTCCATTCAATCTAAAACATTAAAAACACAGAATTGGATGTTAATGAATGAATTAGTCTTTTATACCTAATGCCATTTTTACTCACTTGGTAAGGACATGCTGAAATCCGTGGCGGTACTCGTGCTCAAAAGCTGGAATAACCACCTGAAATTAAGAAAAATAGCGTTTTTCGATGAATCCAATTAATTTTAATAAATGTCATATGACGTACGTCCGTTTATTCCTGCGGAGAAACAAGTAAAATCCTCCAGACCGCAGCTTATCTTTGATGATGTGTTAGAAAAAAATCTTTGGCCGTTTGTTTGGGTTTGGAAGAACCCAAAAGCTATTTTTATTAGGGCATTATGGCCTACACACAGACGGGACAGCGTAGCAAGGGATTTTACCTTCAGTCAGCGCACACTGGTCGCTTAGATTGCGTGGTATTTCAGCGCCCGTTACGTTCTCTACCCCCGCCGCCCCACCTCGCGGTATGTAATAACGAGCGCCGCAGTCCTTGACTTGCCGTTGCTTACCACGGTATGCCACAGAATCCTGCCCGCGGCACGTCTTTCAATGCCGTGGAAGGAAATCTCTTTCGATGCCACGGCATCATTTATAATGTGAAACGCAGCTATTTATGTTCTATTTCTATATCAATACGTTTGAAGGTCCATTAGCAAAAAATGTATTCTCTTGGCTTACCTTGTCATGTCGTCACACAAACGCATCCTCAGTTCCTTACTATTCATTCGTTAAATGTCAACAATTGATAGAATACCTGTTTTCTTTTGAAGTGGCTGGCTTGAAGTTTGTGTAATGCGTGTGTTTGCCTATCTGGCCACTCTGGCAAGATGACGACGAAGCTCAGCGGCTCGGCGGAATCTTGCAATAGCCTCTCCATATGTCGCAAGGCCGCTTCTAGTAGTTCTTCACAATAAGGTGGATGTGCTACCATTGAACCGGACACGGGACGCAGTTCCAAAAAGGGCCTAAAAATATTTTTAAATTCGTTAATTCAAAACTTCTGCTAAATGACATGGTCTCAGTCAAACTAGTTTGAATGAAGTTACAGCCAGGGCCGTCTAAGATGCGTCCGCATCGAGCAAATGCGCAGCTCGCGAGCTGCACGCATGCAGTGCCGCACGCACGCGGGTCGCGCGCGGCCTAAAGGACATTCCACATTTAAAAAGCACGGCTCCAACCCAGCCATTATGTTGTCATTAAATATGAACTTTATATTTTTCTTTTTTTAAAAAACGTTGCCCCACACTAGGATTTTCTCCTGTGTCGTGGGTGCGTTTACAAACATACAATATCACATACACATGACACCCAGAACCGGAACAACAATCTGTGGATCACACAAAGAGTTGTTCCGTGCGGGAATCGAACCCGCGACACCGTTGCGCGGCAGCAAGTTGCTCAGCCACCGCGCTAACCGTGCAATCGTATGTCCTATGTATGATACATTTCGTAACGTCAATACAAAAGCCGACGGCGGGTGGTCAGCGCGCGGTCCACTCGAGGTGTTGTCGAGGCGCCCGCGTGCTTACGGCGCGCCGCCCGCGTGCTTACGGCGCGCCGCCCGCGCGGCGCAGGTGCGGCGTCGGCGAGTTGACTGCGAGCCGCCCACCAGGCGTCAGCGAAACAACGTCGCATCGTAAGTAGATATTGTAATGCTACAACACTCTCGCGCGGGAGTGTACCTAAATGTAGTAGAAAGCTTTCACGGCCGGCGCGGCCGGCGCGTCGACTGCGAGGTGAAAGCGCGTGGTCGCCGCGCCGGCCAAGCGTCGCCCACTAGTTGGAACTTTGGAAGCGCGCGGTCACCGCGCCGCCGCCGCGCCGGAGCCGTGCTTTTTAAATGTGGGTTGACCTTAAGCGTCATATGCGATCAGCGTGCTGTACACGTAAGTGCGAAGTAATTGAGTGCGCAGTTCGCAACTCGCGCGCCGCTAGCGCGTAGCCTTGCATACATTGCCGTAACTGCATGCACGCAGCTCACGAGCTATTCGACAGATGTGGACGCACCCTTACCTTGGGGCCCTTGGCCGGGTACACAATGATTCGGAGCCCTTTTGGAATGATTATTTTTTCAACATCGCACCACACTAGGATTTTCTCCTGTATCGTGGGTGCATTTACAAACAAACAAGTACAATTTTACAAACACTTGACACCCAGACCCGAAACAACAATTTGTGTGTCACAGCCGGTTGCCGCGCAACTTGTAGCGGGTGTGTCCGTTATAGAAATTGTCGGTCCTTCGGGGCCCCCGAGCATGAGGGCCCTGACGCGCCCCGAGTCTTATGGTAAAGACGTTAAGACGGTACTGGGCACAGCGGGACTCTAGGTGCTGGCCACATATTACCAAGTTATTGAAACCCTCCCCTTTTCTGCGATACACACACTTTTCTGCGATATCGATACCATTAACACTAGTATTGGTATCGTTTAGTATGAACCTCTTCTCTCCTTACGGCGTTACTATAACATCATTCTTACCCCCGAGATCCAAAATATGTGTCAGTGTCGGCAAATGCAGAACAATATTGCCTGAAGTAGCAATCCAGCGGACTAGCGAAGCACTCGAAGGTGACGCCGAAGCACCGATGCAGACACTCGAGCACCGGCACGGGCAGCGACATCTGCGTCAGCTGCGCATCCCCGCCCGCGCCCACCCACGCCGCGTACCGACGCAGCAGGCACCACACCCGTGACAAGAACTGCTCGAACTTCTTGTCGTCGAAGCAACTATATCGGTATAGGCATTCCTGTCAAACAAAACACATTTATGCTAGGCATTTGCTATCTACTACAGTTATAGGATAGAATCTACTGTTGCGTCCTTTTAATTCACCATCCCTATCATTCTTAGTTAGTTTTGGACAATTAAATGCAGCATATAGCAGTAACTTATTTGTTAGGTACACAAATATAGTTTAAATTGCTCAGTTACTCAACAACTTACCAGTTTCTGTAAATAAACAGCATTGAGGACCTGAGTTTCACCAAGATAGCGTAATAGTGTCTGATCACGGTCGAGGAAATGTTCTACGAGCGGAGGCCGTGGGGCCGGCACTGCGAACTGCACCGGATAACACCACACCTTCCGCAAAGCTGCTTGTTGCAATGGAGCTTGAAGTTCCTAATGTAAATAATTAATAAACCTTTAACAGAATAATTCTTTTATAAACTATGTATAAAACAACCGACACAATTTTAAAGTTGGTTAAAAAGTACATAATGTGTAGTCTTTTATTATACAATAAAAATCCCATGATTGGCACTCACTCTTGTAATTATTCAAAGAACGAGGTAAACTTTGGCAATGGCAAAAAGCAAATCTCAACAACAGCTGAACGGATTAGGTTAATTCTTTTTTTGTTGGGTTTGTTACTTTTACAAGATTCTTATGTGAGAAGAAATTAACAAAGATGTACAGATTACCCTGTGCATCTTTGTAATTGTTTTGTCTTTTCTTTCTTTTTTTGAAACTCAGTTTGTAGTTTATATTACTAATGATGAAGTATTTTGTATGTATGCATGCTTGTGGTTGTCTTGTTGATACTTTACACACGCTATTATGTGAAGATTTACATAAAAATATATTAAGTTTTATATTTACAAAAAGATATGCTAGATTAAAATACATGATATCAATGTTTTGCATCTATAGGTACTAATTAACTAGGAAGGCAACAGAATACCCTGTGAGTAGTAAAACATTACGAAATTGCAGTTTATTTTATTTAGAGGAAAATAATACAATTGTCTGTTCCTATATTACCTTTTGGATTTAATTTAAAAAATATTATATTAACAAACCTGTATTCCATTTTCTTTAAGTAATGCACTATGTTTCTCTCTTATTTTACGAGCATATTCAGCAGACAAGTGATAGATTTTTAAGCAAATTCCTTCAACTGATGCTTTTACAGTTTCAGCCAAATGCGGTTGACACTGTCTCTGGAAAAAGTAAAGATAATTTTAGTAAAACCACATCATATACAATGTCAGTAGCAATTACAGGACACCAAGTTTATTATTTTACACTGATTGTAATATAATTTAGATAAATATATATATTAAATCATTACTTATTTTATGTACATTTTCTAACTTTTAATTTAAACAATGTGCTCAAGTTATTCTTAATTTAAATGTATTTTACTCAACAATAAGTATGGTATTTTTGTTATCAGTATCAAAGGATTTCTTGTATTTGATAGAAAAGTAATATAATTTACCCGCAAATGTGCTAATCTATCTTGAAAATCATCATATGTTGCTCCAACAGTTCGCCTCAACCACTGAAATGTATCTTCAGCATTCCATTTCACCACCTTACGACTTTCAGGTGATGCATTTCGTGATTCAATCATTTTCTTTGCTGCTTCTGCATACCTTGATAACTGTTTCCTTGCATCGCCAGTAAACTTTGGATGCGTGAGTTTAATTGGAATGTCATTCATAATTTCCTCATACATTGAATGTGATATTTCTGGGAAACAATGACTAGGAAGAAGAGGGTCTGAACCACCCTGATCATTGACCTTCCTTTCCATCAACCATCTATTGAATGAATCTTTAGGAGCATCAATGCCTTCTCTTGTATGGCATAACTCTTGGTAGCATTGTCTTAACTTATTAGCCAAGGTAAATCTAAATCCTTCTATTTCTGGGTGGGGATGTGGACAAATAGTTGGAGGTCTCTCATATATTACCACATTAGTTGGCACCTCAATATCCCAAGGTCCAGCCAGAACAAATTTCTTTGGTGGGGGTCCATTATCTTCAGATGGACGACGTTTGTTAGCACCAGGAGTCATGTTACCTGCATTTGATGGGCCGGTGTGACAGATGCCTAGTGGATCTGTTATTGGATCAAAATCTCTCTTTACTGCGGGAAGTTCCCACATAGATTCACCGGACAGTTTGTTCCAGAAATAAGGCCTATTTTCTCTTTTAGACCAATATTTCCTCCAACCTTGTTGTAGAAGATCTGGATGTAATTCAGCTGCTAGGTGTGGGGCCAGCGGAACTGGTGCTCCTGGCGTCTGGGGTGTCTCACCACTTGCACTTGGAGACGACTGCAGTTCTGGTGATGAGTCACTCTGAGTTGCATTACTCTCCCATGTTGAAGTTCCAGGGACAACTTTGTCACGAACATCATTCATGTTGACTGTTCAACTAGATACACGAGAACGGCGTGAATACTGCTGATGTTATTCACTTCTTAAAACTGTTTAATTTTTCCAAGTACTTATTTATATGCAAACTTTATCCAACTAATAAGGTTCTAATAAGTATGTAGGTATATTTTTATTTAGAAACACAACATTGATTATATTGATACCACCAGACTATAAACGCATGGATTTGCGCTTGTTTGTAATGGTTCTCACGATTACACATATTTAAATATCACCTAAAATAATTCAAAACAAACAAAAATCTTAAGTTCAGAACTAAGAAAACACCGCGTCCTATGTTAAAGAACAATAGCGTAACTCCCCAAGCGCCGCCATCACAAAATGACAACTGAACTGAATAGGCTGATAGAGGTGGAGTGGAATTCAATTGGAGTTCGGATTCACACTAGGGTTGTACTTATTGGAAACGATTTCTAAAACTAAAGGCCAGAACTCACTTCCGGCACGGCACGGCATGGCAAGGCATTTCTACATATCTCTATGCTACATATTGATCAGGTTATTTTGATTGTTATTTTATTTCGATACAACTAATAAGCCATTAGGTGGCGCGCCAAAAACTTCTACATTGCATACAGTTACGGGTTTGCACCCTATTGGTGGCCACGGCACTACGACATGGCCACGACACGCCTCAACACTTTAGTTTAAATTCGTCATCTGGTTTTATCCTTAGATGAAAAATAGGTCTTATCACGGTCTAATCGGATATAATCGGATATAGCAAATCATTTCAGTGCATCATAGGTTCACATCAAATGTCACTGTCACTCACCTTCTGCTCGCGTTTCGCGAGTGTCATCTGTCATCGATAGTGTCATTTTTAAGCTATTTTCAATTGTGTTTTGACTATTTTGTCAGATATTTTGTTTTCCTTTGAAAAATTTAAAAAGTGATCAATGTGATTGATCATAAAAGAAATGTCTGAAGAATGTATCAGTTATATTATAAATCTGTAACGTTGTATAAACGATTGTAACGAGTATCTTTGCTGCTCAGTGCCTGATAATCTTTCACGATAGATTATTTACAATTTATAGATTTGTGGCGACATCCAAAACATAAAATTAAGAAGAATTCATAATAATTTTAGCCTCGAAACCAAAGAAAAATAATACCATTAATAAAAGTTTGGCTGAAGACTTATTGAGGTGGCTTTTTATATTGTTTTGAGAAGTCATTGACTTATTATTATTAAACGCTTCTAGTCATTCCACCAAAAAATAAGGTAATAATGTCTAAGATAAATTTTGAAATACAATGTCCTTTGAATGTGGAAGTTCCTGAGTATGATTACAGTGCCTGGAGTTGTGATAAAGCTGTTTTTCAACAGGAAAATTTTGAGTTTCTAGACTTTTTTAATAACTTTATGTTAAAAAATTTACCTTGCATAATTAAAAATGTAACAGACAGCTGGAAATGTGCTCAAGAGTGGGTAAAAGGAGATCAAATAAATTATGATGGAATGATTGAACAATACGGTGATTTTATTGCTCCTGTAGCTGATTGTAAAAACATCCAGTTTAATGCTCAATGCAAATCAGATATGAAAGTGTATGAGTATATTGATTACTTGAAGAACATCACTGATAATAGAATATTATATTTAAAAGACTGGCATCTAAGGAGAAGTTTACCAAATGACTACTTTTATGAAGTGCCAAAATATTTTGCATCAGATTGGCTAAATGAATTTGCTATAGATAATAATGAGGATGATTTTATGTTTGTATACATTGGCCCCAAAGGATCATGGTAAGTGGCAAGTTATAATATTCATAACTATTTATCTAATACTATCATATAAATTTAACTTGCTAATCTCGAGAACAACTGGTTTGATTAGAAAAAATATTTTTATGTTGGATAGTTAGACCATTTATCGAGGAAGGCTACAGACTATAAAAAATCAAGCTATGATTAAAAGAAGCTGAGCACAGTGGGTGAAATCGCGTGGGAGTAGCTAGTATTCTATAAATACAATGTACTACTTCTTGCTGTGTGTGTGCTATTGTGACTTGATGTGACTCGACTTAATACTAATCATGACGTATAGCATATTCCTTTATTTTAAAGGAGTAAGGTAACTATACTTTGCTTTTAAGTACATTTACTTGTAGGTACATTTGTCTCAAAAATAATACAAGGGACTGGTATGATAATATTATTTTTAATTAATAATATTAAAATTGTATAAATTATAAACTTAAAAAAAGACAACAATTTAAAAAAGTACAAGGGTCTGTTTCATGAAAATAAGTTTCTGTTGTCCTGTGAACCTTTGTCAGTTAGGTATATTTTTATATGGAAGACATACATAAAATTATCTGACCAGTAACTATATTAACTTAACCAAAAGTTGTGAATTAGTGTAAAACAATATTTGTATCACTGATTGCAACCATTACATCATCTTGTTAAAGCTCAAATCACCACACCCACCTCATATAATGTTAAATATTCCCATCCAAAATATTAATTAAGTACTTAAAAAATATGTTTAACAGATTTTCATTAAATAAGGTAATCAGTTCTGTCACAGCTAAGTAGTGAAAATTAGATTACATATAACTTTATAATAGTGTGCGTATAATATAATGTATCTGTGCTACTACAAATGAAAAGACTTTGTTATCAGAAGATCAGTACATCTGTGTAATTTAATTTGTTTCAGGACACCATTACATGAAGATGTATATTGTTCGTATAGTTGGTCCGTCAATGTTGTTGGAAGAAAAAAATGGATTTTGTTTCCTCCAGGAGAAGAAGAAAAATTAAAAGATCCATTGGGTAATCTCCCTTTGTTATTCGAACCAGATAAACTACAGAATATTACATATTTTGAAATCATACAAGAAAAAGGAGATGCCTTATTTGTTCCTTCTGGCTGGCATCATCAAGTATTTAATGAATCTCATACAATTTCAGTCAATCATAATTGGATAAATGCATGTAATGTAGAAATAGTATGGAAAGCCTTAGCACATTCGTTGGTGGTAGTAGAACATCAAATAGAAGAATGTAAAGGCACACCAGAATTTCCTGCTGAGTGCCAATTAATCCTTAAATCCCACTTTGGTATGGACTTTGAGTCTTTTGTTACATTTTTGCTTTATATAGCTAAAAAAAGGCTAACTCAATTGCAAGGTAATTCACGGGAAATTTTTAAACAATACTCACTTGGTATGAGCATAATCAAATTTGATTTAAAAAATATACTAAAAGTAATGAACTTAATTTATCAACATCCAATATTTTTAGAGAATAATATATTGTCTTCAAAGGAAGACGAATTTAAACAAGTCAGAAAAGAGCTGAAGGTCATTTTCTCATAGTAGTAGTACTGAGAACCGTGTAATACCAAAATCCACGTATTATAAATTCGATTTTCTAATTGCATAAACATGGTTATTTTCGATAAGTTTTTCGATTTCGACCTTAGTATATCCTAACTCATATAATATGGCAATAGTATGTTGTCCAGGCACTGGTAAAGGCTTACAACCACTAGATATCCCTGGAGTACGAGATAATTTGGGAACCGGTTCCGGTACAATCTTATCATTTTCATCGCGATGAAAAGATGTGTCAGATGCCCGAAATTTATGTTTATCTACTTCTTCTATATCTATTACTGGAGTGACACATGCATCAAATTGTTCAAATATCTTACACCATTCTTCTTGGGTCTTCGTCAGAAATACTTCTTGGAATTTTTCCTTACAGTATTCGTTATTGTCACCTTGAATATATTCTTCTTCAGACAATTGTAACCCTTTCAACAACTCTGAATAGAATTGTGGTTCGAGGGCTCCTACTGCCATAAACTTTCCATCTTTAGTTTTGTATGTCTGGTAACATGCAAATCCCCCATCAAGAACATTCGTACCCGGTTCTCCCGACCAAATTGGCAACTCTCTTGATTTAAATAGCCACTTACCAACGTATGCAGCTCCTTCTGTCATACTAGTGTCTATAATCTGCCCTCTGTTCGATTTCGTTCGTTCAAACAAAGCTAATACTATACCTAGAGCACAAAGTACACCACCTCCAGCAAAATCACTTAGAAGATTTAAAGGTGGTGTTGGGGGTTGTTTATTTCTGCTAAGTAATGAAAGTATACCAGACATGGCAACATAATTGATATCGTGACCAGCTTTATTTTTGTAGAATCCATTTTGACCGTATCCTGTTAATCGGGCGTAGACGAGTTTAGGATTTTCTTTCATAAGAATTTCCGGACCTAACCCCAGCTTTTCCATAACGCCTGGTCGAAATGTATCCAAAAGTACATCGGATGTCGAGCACAGCTTTTTCACTACATTGACTCCTTCTTGGGTTTTTAGATTCACCGATAACATTCTCTTTCCGTTAGACATTACATCAAATGGAGTTGGACTGATCTGGAAAATAAAAGAATAAAAGCTCTTAAGGATTTTCTTAAGAGCACGACCCTAGAGTGCTGCAAGGTACCGATACAACTCAAATGCCTTACAGATAGTAGGTATAACTATAAAGTATACGCCACATTCAATAACTGGAGAAAATCGAATCTTACGGTAACATACCTTTTGCACCACAGTTACGTTTGCTCCAAAGTCCGCCAATAAACTACCACATACCGGACCAGGGGCAAGTCCCATCATTTCGACAACTTTTACACCTTTCAATGCCATTTTCTGGAACAAAATAATTTTCATTTAAGTATTAAAGTTATCATGTCTACTTTTATGTAAGTAAATACAACAAAGTGCCAGTACTAATAGCCTGTAGATAAAGTAGATTAACTTGCAACAATATTGTAATCAACTAAGTAATTGTTATTCCTCATTTCCTCAAGTATTAAGGTCATTGTACATCTAATAAGCACGCCTCGAACCTAGCAATTAAGTTGTCATTTAAATATAAACTTTAAATTGTTGCGCGCCGCCCGTGAGTTGGAAGCGCTTAGTCAGCGTGCCGACGCCGTCGCTGCGTCCTTTTTTATTAGACGTGCGATGATCTTTAGTTTCTAACGGAGATCTCTGCTAGAGAAAAATTAGAAAGAGATGCACATTGTTAAATAAATTAATGTATATGCATCATTTTTTAACTTTACTTGTGAATAGATCCCGTTTGATTATCATTACCACAATAGGTACCGGCCCTGGTCATGTGATTATTTTTTATTTTACTTATTGAGACTACAATGTACACAGTAATATTAAATAGGTACTTAAACTTTTACACATTTATCGCATTGGGCATTACCTGTAAAGATAAATGTAAGTGAAATAAATAAAAAATAAATAAAAAACTATGTAAATCATTCGACCCATAATTGTATTATTTTTCTCCTTATGAAACCGCAACATACCTGTGTTGTTATAATTAATTTCTCACCTATTGTTTTAATTTATTTAATCCAATTATGGTTTGAACTCCTCTATGAATTCCTTAATACCCTAGTCACTACCATTAGGATATTCCTAGATTAGATTTTTAAACAGCATGTTTATGTAAATATTTGTAATTAGATGAATATTACTATTTCATACATAGTTAATGACCACAAGTATTATACTGTAATATAAATTCATAGTAACTTTTGTCAACAAAGATTTGTTCTTATAAATGATAATTTAGGAAACTACTTCATACTAATAAAATTAAGCAACATTAGTAGGTATAGCATGTTCAATAAAATAAATTGGGAACTATGGCTCTAATATTTTTATTTACACATTCACATATTAGTATTCCTAACAAACTTTGTACCTAAGTACAAAGTTTAAAGATTACCAATGCAAGATACATAAACTTACTACTTGGTCCCAAGGGGCTGGACCTATAGAGCCCCACCAGGTATGTACTATGTAACTATGTTCTTCTGTTCCTACTTCTGTCTAGTACATTGGTACCTACCTATACCTAAATATGTACGTTTTAGGTTTATAACTATATAGGTACGATAGGCTAGTAGGTACTTTTTTATAATACCTACCGGCCTACCGTACACTTGGTTGGGAGTATGAAACATGGAAAACAATAGGTTAATACTATTCCTAGTCCTTAAAACATAACAGAACTGCCAGCACATCAAACTACTCAAATGTGTAAAATGTTTGTCATTGAATTTTCGACTTTAAACGCCCACAATAGAGTTAAAAATCGAATAAAGACATTTGACAGAAAAGAGTAGGTCAACCAGCTGCCCACTGTAAGGACTATCAAAATGATGTTTAAATACCTAGCCAAATAAAGTACCTACCTACTCAAATAAAGAGTTGATTATATCGGGGCTTTCTGCCTAAATAGGTGCTGAATTTATAATTGCCCATTAATTATTACACGTACCTATAATAAACATTTTTTAAACATACCTTGTTCAGTAAAATTAATTGTAACGACAACAATGTTGAACTTTCAATTCAGTAAAAGTTCACAACACAGACTCAACGACCCAGTTAAACACAGAACATATATACCCTGCAGTTAAACCTATATGAACTGTCGGACGGGGTTAAAGTCGACAAAGTGTTATCCGAATGAACGATATGAACGAGAATGTAATAATTTAGATAAAATTATTAAACTAAAAACATACAAGTCAACTTTTAGATAAAAACTTAAAACAACCCAAATGATTATGGGTCTATACCCATCCTGAAAAATCTGTTAAAATATTATTTCCTTCCTACCTTCAGCTGTACGTTAGGCATGTACCTATTCGTATTTCACCCTATCAGGCCATCCTATGATATCGTTACTTGAAAACTTTTTAATAGTTTTGTGACCAGTGCCAAGTTGTTGGTTCCAGTTGTCCAGGTCCACTGCCCACGGCTGGACTGCTAGGTATGTTATTATAAAATATAGGTATTTCGGATAAATACTAAAAAATGATAAATATCGAGTAATACTGAGTATTTGTCCGTTTATATTATACTCATGTATTTATACAAAAAAGTGGACAATTACCCAGTCTATACTCAGTATTTATTCAATTTGAGTATTTGATGTTACCTTCATATTTTGTCCTAGTTCTAAGGTCTTTATACCTCCCCACCAATTTTCGGCCAAATCGATGTAGCCGTTCTTTAGTTATAAATAGTATAACTTTATTTTTATAACTATAAAGATTACCAATAATTTCAAGGCCGAAATACAAAACCGAAAAAGTTTGTGCCCTGTTTATTATTATAATACATAGATATATAACATAATACAATATAACCATAAATCACACATAGTCACATTCGTATCCCAACTCTATTTCGATTTCAATAGTCTATCTATGTCTATGACTGACTGTTTGGTTTGCTGCAATGTCCGGAAAGTCTGTTTTCGTTCGTTAATAATAGTTGTGCGTTGTTTGTTATGGAATTCTGATGGACAGAAGTGTATAAGACGAAAAACTTGGCGTTTTTAATCACACAGTTCTCTGAACTTATTAATTTTGCGTTTCATTTTGATGGTTATTAGTTTCGCAAAATATTTTACATCAAATTAGACCATCATGTCTGTAGCATTTGCAGCACGCGGAAATCGACCTCCTTTGAGCCCGGCGCAAATTCAAAAGATGTTAGATGAAAATGCTCATCTAATTCAAACTATTCAAGAATATCAATCAAAAGGTCAACTTATGGAGTGTCATCAATATCAACAAGTTTTACACAGGAATTTAGTTTATTTGGCGTCGGTTGCAGATGTAAATCAAAACATTCAAAGCATACTTCCGGTAACTATATCATAGCTTCTATTTTAAAAACAGTGACTTAAGTTATAGTTAAGGACATGTAGTTAGTAAAAAGAACTGTAATCAGTGCAACCATCCTCTGAGAATGTGGTATTAATAAATACATACTGACTGACTGAATGTACTGGACCGTAAACTAAGAAGAAATATAAAATATCCAAATTTTAAAACTAGAAAGAAAGAAAGAAAAATCATTTATTCGACAGTAGGCACGCACACAGATACACAAAAAAATACAAAATTAAAAAAGAAAAGAACAAATAAATAGAATTATTTATACAGATAGAGAAAATTAGTATTTTAACTAGCTCTTACTAGTGTATTTGCCCACATTCTCGGGTAAAAATTTGCTCATTGTGTTGTTTCATAGTTTATTTTATGCCTGTACCAAATTTAATTCAAATTCATCCAGAAGATACACAATATTAAATTGTTTTGTTAAAAATTGTGTGGTTTGTTTCACTTTGTCTGTATTTTTCCCTGTAGGTAAAGTTTATTTTAGTATTTTGTGTGACACAAGTGAAAAATAATAATTTTGGACCAGTGTCTTTGATAAGATTATTATTTTTACAGCCTCCTCATCAACTGGCAGCTGGCAACTCACAAGCACCTCCAATTAATTCACCTTCTCCTAGTGGTGGTGATGTGTCAGGGGGGCCTCAATCTTCTTACAGACCTCCCGGAGTGTCTACAACACCAACAAGACCCACACAATCTTATGGTCAAAGACCATATCCGCAAAATCAGTACCAAGGTCAATATCAAGGTGCTCCAGGTGGGTATCCTCCGCAACCTGGTTATGGACCACCTAGTCAAGGTTATGGACCTCCTAATCCTCCTCAACAGCCACAAGGTTATCCTCCAAATTCAAACTATGGTCCTCCTATAACAACTACTCCAAGTAATTATCCACCATCTACGCACCCAGGCCCAGGGTATCCACCATCATCAGCGCAGCAACCTTATGCACCACCTCCTGGCAGTCCTGCTGCTTCTGGAACACCCTATCCTGTGCGTGGTGCTTCACAACCTGCTTATACTGGTAATTCAGCCTATCCACCATCACAAACAGGTTCAAATTATCCCAATGTAGGTGTTAGCACTTATAATAATTCTACTGGCTCTCAACCTCAACCATACCAATCCCAACCTTTTCCTAATACTACACCAACATCAGCTTATAGTACTACTCCTACATCACAGCCAAATCGTTCTCCACAACCACCACCCACTGGTTATTCAACACAAAACCCACCCACTTCTGGTTATGGATCTCCATCAGCTCAATCCCCTACATATAATTCTAGTTCGCATAATAATGCCCCTCCAACATCAGTGGCGTCTGGGGCGCCAACATCAGGTGGACCTCCAGGTCAACAGTACCCCCCACCTGGACAGGCTTCTCCTTACCCACCAGCAACTCAGCCTCCTTACTCCAACCCTTCATCGCAACCAGGAAGTCCTGCGCCATCAGTTTCTACAGCGCCACCTCCACAAGGGTCATATCCTCAAAATCCCCAAAATTATCCTGCTGCAGGAGGTGGTTATCCACCTCATGCTTATCAGCAAGGTTATCCTCCAGCGCAATATCCTCCCTCTCCATACCCGTACGCCCGTGCTCCAACACCTGGAGCTCCACCTCCTGGTGGTCCACAACCTTATCCTGGATATGGTTTCCAACCACCAACTCAACAGTAAAAATGTTGTATTTTTAACTCTAGATTAATGAGTATACAGGTGTCCAGTAAATAGTGCACCATACTGTGAGGGGCGTTAGCTGGGATCAATACCTACCTAAACAACCCAAAACCTAAATGCTCCGTGAAATTGTACAGTTTAAAAATAAAAATCACTACCACACACACATCTTTTTAGTAAATTTTATTAATTTTATACAACAAATTATTCGTGAATAATTTGATTGATAGGACTTTTTTATATAAGAAATAAAGTGTTTAGGAAAAACTACTTCAGTTTTCGTAGAACTATTTTCTTGTCGCGTCATCAGTCGGCGTATAGGTGAAAATTAGGCATAATAATATCGCATTGTTCTTCTGATTTTTAAATAATTCACGGAAATCCAAAGGAGATCTTTGGAGTAGGTAACTAATACTTGGTCTCAAAGTAGTATATGCTAGAACATTTTCAAGAAAATCGGCCCCTCTTCGCTCTCCGCTTATAACGCCTCTCTAATAACAGCTTTTTTTCGTAATTTTGTTGTAAGAATGTAGTAACATTATACCTTTCCAAAATACGATTAGATGAGGTAGTTTTTACACTTATTGTACAAAAACAGTTCCGGGACAAGAAAATTGTTCTGCAAAAACTGACAAAAGAAGTAGCTTTTCCTATATACTATTTTATTTCTAATATAAAAAGATGTACCATCAATTAATTAAAGTATTTATCCACGAATAACTTGAAGTACAAAACTTATTACAAAAGATTTTTTCACTGTGATATGCTAAAAGATGTGTGTTAAGGTAGTGATTTTTCAATATTTGCGAAAAAGTGGTCTAATTTTTAAATCGTACAATTTCGCTGAAAGTTATATTGGGTTGTTTAGGTAGGTACTAATCCCAGCTATGACCCCTCGCAGTATGGTGCACTATTAACTCGTCGAGTACCGTATTTATAGACACAATTAAAGAACAATAGGTTGCGGTCACTGGTGACCGCTTTGTGTTTGACAGTTTAACTGGACAACCTGTACATCTACATTTTTATTCTTTGATACTGGATACATTATATTTGTAGTTGTGATAGGAAAGATAGTTTTACAGGCAAGACTATTTTTAAAAGCCACATCCTGGTCTTTGAGAACAAAACTGAATTTGGTAATTAAGTAATTGCAACAATATTTATCAATAATTGTGTATTTATTATTACTGTGTCTATCTTATTACTAATGTTTTTTTTTTACTATATGTAATTCAAATATTGTTAAGAAATGACCACGATTCACAGGAGCATATGCATTGCATTTGTAAAATTATTATGCCTACTTTATTAAAAAACAAACTCTCGCGCTAGTTCACCCGGTGCTCGGCACTAAAATAATTCGAAAAGCGTTCAAACAAATTCTTCAGTTTTATAATATTATATTATACCTAATATATTTATTAAGTATTCTTCTGTCGAGCGTGCGTTTACAAATACAATTTCGCATACACAAGACACCCAGATCTGAAACAACAATTTTTGGACATCACAGACACTTTTATTGTACCTACTGTACACATACATTTATACATACTATTACATTTATTTTAACAAAGCATTTGCTCCTGTTGGTCTATACTTATGTTAGTTTAAGAAAACCAATTTGTAAAAAAGGTCTGTACCGTAAAACGGGGTAAATAGAATTCGAGGGGTGAATAGATACACTTCTTCATACATACTCTTCTATATCTATTCACCCCGTTTTATCGTATCTATTTATCCCTGTGGTGTGGACTGTGTGGACTTTAAAATAGAAAGACGGTATGCCTGTGCATACTTACTGCTGTACAGTTTACTGTAAGTATAAATCAATGTAGGTACCAATATAGTTCATATAAGTTAAATTATAAACTTTTTTAAAATTCGACTGAAAGCTCGTTCTAAGTCCTCTGTCCGTTTTCACTAGAAAACGTAAAAGTAGTATAATTCTTTGCTGGTGAATTGAACTTGCTAGAATTTATTTTAAACATTACCAATTTCCTCGGACAGCGCGAGATTACTGTATCTTAAAAATTGATAATGTTGATATAGTTTTCAGGTACTTTTATAGAATAAGATAATCTATGAGCTGTTATTAAATAGTATAAGAATGAAATATAAGTTTGCTTAATACTGTAGTCTGGCAACAAGTTTGATGTGGTGACAGTTAAAAATAAAAACTTAATTTGTGATAAGTACTTTCTCTTGACAATCCCAATCGATACAATTATCCCAATAGATATTTATACCTATTCGTAATATTTATATCGTGTGATACCTTACAACAAATACCCACCATGGCTACTTGCCTTATTTATTTATTTTTCACATACAATTACAGTGAATGGGAGATTTAATGCTTTTTAAGGCATTCTCTTGTGTACATTAGTACATACAGTAGGTAGGTAATTGTTTTATTACATTACAAAAGGTAGAACAGTATAGTACAAAGATCTACACTAGACGCAAAATCTAAAGATGACGCGTCTGCCATACAAAGTTGGTGTACCTGGACAGACTGGTGCATTGGTGTCAAATCAACCAGATGCAATTAAACGCTAACGCAAATGTTTTCACATAAAATTCTCGCGAAATCATAATTTGATCGAGCAAGATTATTACATAAATGGAATTAAATTGATAGAACTGGACACAGTAAAGGACCTTGGTGTAATCTTTGACCGTAAATTGACTTTTATTCCTCACTTAAATCACATAGTAAAAAAGCATAAGGATGCTGGGCTTGGTTGTAAGAAACTGTAAGCATTTCAAAAGTAGCAGAGCTAAAATCATCCTTTAAAATAGTTTAATTCGAAGCACTTTGGAATATTGTAGCGTAGTCTGGCGGCCGCACTTTTCAGCGCACTCGCTGCGTCTCGAGCGCGTTCAAAAAGGTTTCTTTGGCATGTGGCGTTCTCTGCTGGCATCTCCAGAAGGGTGCGTTCTTACACAAATAGAATAAAACACTAGAATGATTTCACTCAACGATCATCGACGCGTTGGTGACGCAATGTTTGTGTGTAAATGTAAAGTAGTGGCCAATCAGATTGACTGTCCGCAAATATTGTGCCGTCTCGGTTTTCGTACCCCCTCGAGAATTTCTTGCAGTCCAATAACTCCTCTGTGTCCACCGCTTAGAAGAACGGTCTTGGGTGCCAATTCTTCTGCTTGAATAAACTAAGGAGAACATAGCTAAAATATCTTCCATGACTAATTTCATTAATTCCCTTGATGACCGAAAGGGCAACTCTCACATGGCATCTATTATTTTGAATTACTTCATACTATTCATTTAAACTCACTTTAACTTATTAATCTTGGATTAATTTGTTATTTTGTTAATTTATAGTTGTTTACTCTTGTCTTTCTTGTACAACCTTTTTATGCATGTGTGTTTACCCTTTAAGTGATTATAACACAAAAGTATGTATCTATTGCATGTAAAGTAATATTTGATCTAGTGTGTACAATTGTTGGTGAACCGATAAATAAAAAAAAAATAGAATAATGTAGGTATGTTTAGAGCTAGCATTGAAAAAGTGGTCACAGGGACTAATGGAATAGGAGAATAAGATACCTAGTTAAATTAGTAAGGACTAAGAAGTAGGCCTCTAGTGGACGTTTTTCGGGTAATAATGAAATAGACGAAAACATAATTTAATAAATAAACAAGATGCGCCTGCCAAAGGGTAATTTTCGATTACCGAAATTGAAAGTATAATTATATTTCAATAATTCGCGGGTTTGGAATAGCCTCGTTTCCTTAATTTATTATTACCTGGCACCCAATAACAGATTTAAAGCGTGATTACAAAATAGTCAATACTTAAGGGAATAAAAAGTCATGGCTTCATGTAGTTGAATACCTGATATATTTAGCTTTAGCAATAGGTGGCAGTTTGTGAATCTACCCCGCGGGTAATTAATGGTTATGCATGATGTCATAAATAATTAAAACTATATTTTTAATAAGTTTCTATTGCTATACATAGGTAATAAGTATATACCTTAACAGTAACTTATCCCTTTATTTAAACTTCTTCAAAAGTAATTGAACGTTCGTCAAAACGTTGAACAGATTCATCAAAATATTCCAATGGTAAATCTTCAACCAATGGTTGTGTGGGGAAAGGAGGTGATGTTGAATGCTTTTTGAGTGGAAGAACTGTATCAAATAAATAACACATCGCTCCTGTTTCCCCAGGTATTGCCACACCTAATGTCCAAATTACATTATGTTGCGTATTTATACGCAAGATTTTTACACCACGTAGGATCCGCCATCTAGAAATGAAAAAGAAAATTATCAAATGGAAACTTTGATTATATGTTTTTTTTTTTCAACTGAGTTTTAAGCGATTTACCTGTTTCCCATGTGTCCAGGCATCTTAGTACCAGGCCAAACCCTTGCTTTCTCACCACCAGAACCAATATTTCCTGGTCTTCTATGAGTTTTGGTGACACCATGTGATGCTGGCATACCTTTAAATCCCCAACGTTTCATAACACCCTGAAACCCTCGATCCATTCTGTAAACATTTTTGCATTGGTTTTGTTATAATACTTGCATTTTGCACTTGTGCGAAGTCGGAGCAGGTCGCCAGCTTTAAAATATATCTGAATGTGTCACATGTAACTATTAAGTTGCCATTAGTTTTATAACATGGTGTAATAAAATGTACTGTCGCAACCATCAATTGAAAAAAAATATGTTTACTAAATTGAATTATATCATAAAAAGAGATTAAAACATTACTGGTACTTACGTTTTTGCTCTTACATCTATGTAGTCCCCTACTCTAAAATGTGTTGCAAACAATGGTGTTCCTGGTGAGATATAAGATTCTGGTGATACCATGAACCTAAATAGATGTCTTTTGGGTAGCATGCCTGAATTATTGAACAGACCGCAGTATTCTCTTGTGACAGTGCTAGGATCTATAGTCTCTGATCCAACTAACATACATCCCAATTTTCGTTTTTCCTTCCATTGAACAGATGAGGTTTTCATAGGTTTAAATTCCTCAGGAGGGATATATTTGATCACATGGTTATCTACAACCTTAAATAAAAACATAATTATTTATTTATTTAGAAATTTATATAATTACACAACATTAGCAGCAGCACTTTACAAACCTATTTTCAACCAATTTCAAAAAATAGGTTTTTAATTTGACCTGTAAGTATGTATTTTGTCTATGATTTATCTTACATAATGTGAGATATAAAAGACTTCAAACAACAGGAGGTTGAAGTGACACTAACAATGTCATTAGTCCGGCTTGCTGGAGATCTGTCTTCAATCATCCAGCTGGTGGTCACCACTTAAATAGGTTCCTGGCCCATAGCCCCTTATTCTAAATCAGTTATCTTTCTAAATTGTTGTATAAATAGATATAAATAACCTACCTGCAATAGAGTAGTAAGAACTTTTTTCCCATCTTTGGTCCAAAGAGGATAATTGCCTATTTTACGGGCTATGAGTCCTACCCTACGGGTCTGTGGATTCCATGTGGTTGTTTGATTTTGATCAATATTAACTAGAGGTGATTGTAATGAATTCTGTAGTTGCATTTTATCCTGCATAACTTCCTCAATGAATTGCTTGTTTTCTTGAGTAAGAAACTCATCTGATGTCTAAAATGTAAAATTTAAGAATTAGAAACAAAATCGTTGTTTTGCCAAACACTGTATTTTATTATCAGTAAAACCAACAATGTTTGTTATTTCAGAAATACACATACCGCACTTTCCTTAGGTGCATACCAATAAGGGGGTCGGTACCTAGGACGTTGGAGAGATCTAGTGAACACATGATCTATTCTGTAATAAAATAAATAAGTTGATGTTACTTATGTCGTAGCAAACAAAATAAATAGATGATAAACAGTATAATTTATAACCTTAATTTACTAAAGGCATTGCGTAAAAGATTCAAATTTCCCGTAGCCATGATGAATTCTTGTACATGTGGAAATATTTAAATTGATTTCACTAATGTTAAGTGTGTAAAACGTTTTTCAGTCAATAAAATCGGTATATTCTAACATTTAGATAAATACAATACACGGACCGAATGATCAATGCTCAAGCACAAGACTGGACAAGACAGACAACCTAACTTTCTCTAATCATTTTATTTTAAACTGTCACAGGTCACTGTCAATCCTTCATTATCAATGCTGTCAATAGTGTCAATGTCAGTAATTTAGAGGTGGGAAATACCCCTTGACTTCCCGTCTCTAAATTACTTCCCAAAGATTATAGATATATTAGAACAGGGTACTGTTATACCCAAGGAATATCACACCCTTATCCCCGTCACAGTGCTGACACTTCACTCCTCGCCTCAAATGCATACAACCCCGTCCTATACAAAAACAGTCAGTCGCATTCCATCCATAATCCCGTGCACTCGTGGGTCACACTCGAAATTATAATAATAATAATAATAATAGTTCCTTCTTCTCCGGCTTGCCTTAATTGGCTGGCTGGAGTGAAAGATGACAAGGAACAGGTCTCCCACCTCTGGCTTGCCTTCATTGGCCGTCCAGAGTGGAGTCGCGAGAGCAGTGAACCTGCTCGGAGGGTAAGAAACTATTCGTAAGTCGCGAGTGGGCCAGGGATGCAGGAGGCTTCGGCTGGAGCAGATGATCTGAGTAGAAAGCGGTGGTAGTTTCTTAACCCTTCAGCCACTCACATTCTCGTTGCCCCTCTGTTGCTATATCTAGCAACCATTCCCGGGGCCCGGTCGGTGAGTTGGCGAGTCTCCGCCTGCCATTTTTACGTGTAAAAATTACATTGTTTCGGCAGGTGCCATAGTCATCCATAGTTCCCAATCTACCAGTCCACAGCAACCCATCCATAGCCCCACGTTCTTTTTTTCCATTATTCACAATAGTCCTACACTAACCGGGGACTGTCCTTGGGTGCATTTCCATAGTGCATACAGGGATAGTCGCCGGTTTGTGTGTCCATTACATTTATATTAAAGTTGTCTAAAGGGCCTCTGCGCAGTTGGCTTCGGCCCCTCGTATGCCTCCCAAATGACCGGGACCCTGTGGTCCCGTGAATGGTAAAGACGAAAAAATAATAATAATAATAAAGCCCTTTATTCTGAATTTTTACATTACGAGTTGTTACAAAAAGGTTACAGTATATCTCTTAATTCAGTGTGTCTTTTGGCAAAGGCCTCCTCTAGCTGTCTCCATTGAATTCTGTCGCGGGCCACTCTTCTCCAGTTGGGTCCCGCTGTTAGCCTTAGTTCGTCCTCCCATCTTTTTAACTGCTTTCCTCTGTTGCGTTTACCGTCTCTTGGATACCAATCAGTGACTATCTTGCACCATTTTTCCTTGTTTTCTCTCATCATATGACCGGTCCAACGCCATTTTTGTTGGTCAATTCTTTTTAAGATGTCTATAACCTTTGTTTTTGCTCTTAGTTGGTCGTTACTTACATGCTCCACCTTATGTATACCTATCATACTTCTTTCCATGGATCTTTGACAGTACTGAAGTTTGTACTCGAAATTATAATACCCTTTAATTTGTGAAGTTAAATAAAAGTTATTTTATTCTTCGAACTGCAGTGTTTCCTTTAAGAAGAGAACTTACCATATCAAAATCTAACAGTACGTAGTATTACTACTTCCATAAGTTCAAGCCAATCAGCCAAAGGGAGTTTCTCTGCCTTCTATTCCACATATATTTGCATATTATTTATCAATCTATCACCTCTATAGCCCTTAAACTGTAGCGGCCATTTTGCGCGAATCGATGCAACAGCTGTGTCGCCACTTCCTGGGTAGTCCGTGCCGTGCAATATCGGCGCGTGTGGTTACTATGAGAATATCTCAAAAGTTTTGTATGGGACCTTAGGTAAAACTTATATCGTTGGAATCGTTATGAAACAAGCTACCATTTAAATATAGATTTTTTTATTAAGGGGGGAAAATCATCGAATGACTGCTCCCGTCTTGGTGAGGCCGGAGGGAGTGTCAGACTCTTAATGACACTCTTACTTACGAAACCCCACCCCGATCCTTTTCCTGCACGTCGAGCCGGATAACCCGTTAGGTTTTTCGCGACACCATTTAAATATAGATTAGTCCAGTTTTAATTAATAATATATAAATAATCCTGCTTTGAAATCAGATTGAGTTATTATTCTCCCAGTTTATGGTACAAAAGTCGTTATAATTATTACAATAAACAGTTATTTCCAAAAGTTTTATTTCTTTCTAAACAATTCACTGCAGATCACAAATTAAAATACTTATTTATAACGTAGAGTCATACTCTTATCTATACTTGTTATACTCATAAGCGTTTAGTTACCCTTAGAGGTACTTATAATACTCTTTGCTTTGCGTTTAGTTAAGATGTCAATGGGATGGGTATAGGTTTAGTAGGTTATGTTTGTTTTGTTTGTATAATTGCATTCGCAATACAAATATTATAACAAAAATATCAATATGTTATTGGAAACTATTTTTTCGTTTATGTTTCTGTATGTTTTATCATATTCACAGAAAAATGATATAATTATAACAGGCCCAGGCCTTAATCCAATAGAAATTGTGATGCCGGCAAGATACTTTTTCATCAATTTTACTCATATCAATTCTCAATCGTGAGTATGTTTGGGTTTTAAATTTCTATAAAAATAATAATATAAAGCCTCCCGATGTCGATCATGGTGACCTGTCTAACTAGACAGAGAAAGTGTGTGCACAAACATAGGTTCATTCTCTGAACCTGATGAACAGACCGACACGATCGGAGAGAGGTCAGACGCAGAACCAACGACTTTACGTGGTTTTCGGGGCACGGGGGTGAAAACACCCTGACTTCCTGACTCCGGGTCATTTTATTACTCAAAAAAACTATGATCATTTTGCGGAAATCGAACCTGCGACACGATGCACAGGTGCCGGTCACCCAGCCACTGCGCCAACCATGCAGTTAAATCATTCAACCAATATAAGAATATTGATGTCACAAAAGGAATTTCAATCATCTTCAGTACAAACTAAATCAAAACATATCACAAGAAATTATAACTTTATCTACATACCTTTCTATGAATGACTTCTCCCGTCTGAGTCAGGCGAAAGGGAGTGTCAAACTCTTACTGACTAAAAATCACTCTGTTCCTACTTCAAAGCCCCAGCAACTATTAAGCCCTCAACGGCTCCTATAACTAACTACTCACTTACCTATTTCTTTTTGTATTTTTTTTCCATAAATTTTGTTATTCTAATAGCTAATCTATCCATATATAGATGATGCTCCTGATGACCTAATTTACCTAATTTTGTTATTAACTACACCCCACCTTTAAATATACTCAGTACTCACTGCTACCTACTGTTATTTGGTCCAAAGTTAATGGATCAAAGTTTAATTTATTATTTACAGAACAATGATAAGATTAACTACTAATGACTGTGTATGAATAACCTTACAGTTTCTCTTTACTATTATGGTTTTTTCATTTCATTCTTTAGTTGTTCTAAATAAATTGTTGAATTACCTACTTGCAGGTACACTCCAAAATTAAATAAAGAATTGGTAGTTGAAATAAATGGCAGATCAAGTGATGGCAAACATTGTCGTGTTTGGGTTAACAAGTTAGACAGGAAAGATGGAACATTTATTGTACGTTATAAAATTTACGAAACATGCTCAGATTTGTCTATTCATGTATATTATGGTAAAAAAGAAGTAGCAAAATCGCCATACAAGTTTAAAGGTAAAAATTTTTTTCATGTGTGTATACTGTTTTTTTTTTGTTTTTTATTCTGCAATCTGTTTCTAGCGAACATTCAGCACATGGTCAAGAGTTTAATTGTCTTGTAGTGTCACCAGTTCAACTACGTGGGCCCTTTACAATGCATCCCTAACAGGTCTCCTGGGGCTTTCTGTTTTAGCCTTTTCATTGTTGAGTTCATATTCATTACTTGCGACCCGTCCTGGCTTCGCACGGATGCAATATGCATATATTTTACATATAAATATTCCTTAAGAATCACTCTATCTGTTAAAAAAACCGCATCAAAATCCGTTGCACAGTTTTAAAGATCTAAGCATACATAGGGACAGACAGGCAGCGGATAGCGACTGTGTTTTATACTATGTAGTGAAGTGCATTGCTAGAATGTTTGGATGATTGTTGAAGCCTTTTTCTATAGAATAATTGTTTTAATCTCTTCTTGGACTGTTCTGATTTTAAGGTCATGGTGTAATTGTTGGTTAGTTATAAACCAAGGAGTATTAATAATTATCCTTAGCATTTTGGAACCTCTGGAATATTTTTATATTAGAATTTGAGGCTGTGCCCCAGAGTTGGATTCCCCGATTTCGAGTGTCAGCTGCGATTTTCCGCTGAGCATCCAATACATTTTCCTCGGTTGGATGCCCATGCCTATTTTTTCGCCGATTTTCAATTTAACCCTAAGGTTGACTGGGAGAGAATGCCATATGGAATTAATGTCCGCCTTATGTACCATTACTTGTTTCTGTGTACATTAAAGTTTAAATAAATAAAAAAATAAAAAATCCCAGTTCTTTTTTTTTGTAAAAATGTGTGTGGACTTTAACAAGTCATCATTTTCTCTATTGCTTGCATAACATCACATAAGACTATTATTATCAACCAACTAAGTAGAAACTAGTAGACTCACTTGCCCTCACGAGAAAAAGACTTTTTATTTGTGATTGTATTAGAAGTATTGATTCATTTCATTATCTTTTCAGGAACTATTTATGCAGATCAATGCAACTGTCCAGAACACCAGTTTCAGAAATGGTTTAAAAATTATGGTTGTAAAGATACATATGGACAAATTAAGAAAGATCTGAAACCATTCCATAACATAAACATGAAAGAAGAGTTACAAAGTATTATAAAAAAATATCATCAACCAGAAAGTACTAGTTTTTGTCATTATGCTATAAAACAAAATAAATTGTATAGAAATTGTTATGGAAAGCATGTAGGCTTCAATATGTTTTCTGATAACATTTTATTATCTTTGATGAGAAAAGTTAAATTGCCTGATATGGACTTGGTGATAAACCTAGGTGATTGGCCTTTAGTCCACAGGAAAGATAAGCCATTGCCAATTTTTTCATGGTGTGGGAGTGATGAAACTTATGACATAGTAATGCCAACTTATGATTTAACTGAATCTGCATTGGAAAACATGGGAAGGTGAAATTCTCAGTACCTAGATGTTACCTTCATAAAATTTTTCGTTATCATAGTGGGAAAGTAATTAATACAACATCTTTTTTTAGGGTGACTTTAGATACCTTATCAGTTCAAAGTGGTGCAGAAATTGTGTGGAAGGAGCGCGAGCCACGAGCAGTTTGGCGTGGTCGTGATTCACGCGCTGAGCGTTTGAAACTTATTGACATTGCACGAGCCAACCCAGACTTGTTTAATGCTTCTCTTACAAATTTCTTTTTCTTTAGAGATAAAGAAGCACAATATGGGCCGAAACAACCTCATATATCATTCTTTAAATTCTTTGATGTAAGATCCTTTATAATATTTGGCCACATAACAAAAAATATACTATTCATATTTAGAAAATATTTTCTCTTTGTTTCAGTTTAAATATCAAATTAACGTGGATGGCACTGTAGCTGCATATCGCATGCCGTACCTGTTATCCGGCGGAGGTATGATTCTAAAACAACAATCTCCTTATTACGAACACTTTTACTCACAACTAGTACCTTGGGAGCATTTTGTACCGGTCAGAAGGGATTTGTCCGATTTAGTTGACCGTGTAAAATGGGCGCGCGATAATGATGATAAGGCGCAACAAATAGCTGTGAATGCAAGGAATTTTGCGAATAACAATCTGTTGCCGCAAAACGTTATTTGTTATCATGCGGCATTATTTTGGGTATGTATAACATTGTTTTTATAATAACTACTAAAAATGTATAACAAAAAAAAATGTGTAATTTTTCTGATACGATAACTACAAGCCTCATTACTTTTCAATATTTATGTTTTACAAAATTGCTTCAAGTAATATAGCATACTTTTTTAGGAATGGAGCAAAATTATAAAAAGTGAAGTGAATATTGAAGAAAATATGGCTCATGTGCCCCAACCTTCAGTTACTTGTAACTGCAAACCCGAAAAGCCAAATACTCATGAAGATCTCTAATTTATAATGATAGTTTTACAATGGTTTTACATAACAATAGTGCCTTAATCAAATGATCAAAACATATCTAATCTCAATTAGAATCTAGATAGGTAGTAAAAGTAATTTATTTTGTTACTAGAGGTAGAATAAGTACAACATTTAATACATACAGTTTTTTATTAACAAATAATAATGAAATAAAAATATTGTTCATGTAAATTCAACTTTATATTTATAAAAATCTACAATGATGTCTCGGAATAATTTTTATTTGGTGCTATAATAGTGATAATGCAGACATGCAATCTACTAGTTAAGTTTATATGATTTATTATATCTCAATTTGATTTAAATAATACTTTAAGTCATCCAAACATTGTTATTTAGAAACATAGTATAATTCTTTGCTAATACTGATATACCTAACATTAAGCTTTTGAAATAAGTTAATAATTCCAGTTACATTAATTACTTTGGATTTAATTAATTTGATACTAATATACATATTTTATCTGTTTTATAAAATGACTAAAATATATACATTCGTATATGTCTTTTTATTTTAGTTAAAATGTAGATTTAGTGAATATAAGTGTGGTGAGCCGACTACCGATACATGGCGACGTCGGGGCTGCGGTAGAAGCACATGTAGGCGTCGGCCAGCAGGCGGCGCGCGTGCGCCGGCAGCGCGCGGTCGGGCGTCGCGCCGCGCGCGTCCTCGCCCAGCCACGCGCCCAGCTCAGAGATACACACGATCTCCGGAATGTTGTAGCCGTTGCGCTCTCCTGTGGTAGTACCACGATTGTTATTATTCATTTTTACATCTTGTCGATGTTGATTTCAAAACGCCTTGAGACCAAAACAAACTACTAGCTACATTCCAAAATTACTCTATTTAATAAAATTATCGAATATCCCAAGTTTATTTTTTTTTGTACATACCTATCTTTTTTAATATCCATTTTAGATTATGATTTCTTACCTTTTCTATCTGCCATTGAATCAAAAAAGCACCAAGGAGCATCATGACCGACTCCTGCCTTGACGAATGCAACATAGTGACTAGTCTCAATGCATAGAACAGCAAACAGTTCCATGTATACCCGCGGAACTGGACACGATTCCAGAATATTGGCATACTCTTCATTTATTGTAAGTGGTACAGCCTGAAAGAAATGACTTTGATTGTATTGAAATACATTGCAAATAAGGGACCGGACAACTTTTCAAAAATTATTATATACTAATCTTTACGGTTATTAAATTTATACCCGTAAAAAATATTTTAATTAATTTAATTTATTACTAAAACAAAACGTGTTTAAAAATACGTATTTTAAAATTGCCGTGAAACTACCGCGAAACACCACCAACTGTCAAACTAGACTGCAAATCCAGTAAGACACCAGTAGGTCTACTCTGATTTGACGAAAAACGAAGTTTCGTCCGAAACTTCGAAGATCACCTACCACAATGACATTTATTACGAAAGAAAAAGGAATGAAACAAGCCAGAAATTAGTATGAGATGTACTGTTTGACGTCGATATTTTCGGAACCCTACTCTAATGGGGATGATGACAGGGTATGAAAATTAAAAATATAATTAGTCCGTAAGTTAGGTAATGAAAAAATATTAGACACGTATTTTTTTATTTTGTCGTATAATAAAACAATACTTAGATAAAACGAATCAAAGTTTAGGAGTGGGGGCTAAAACGTCATTTCTTAGTATAAAATGTACTGAGAAGTGACGTCACGCGACATTTCAAATCAATATATCTTCGAAACTATTCGTTTCTGTGAGAAAAGAAAAATACGTGTCTAATGTTTTTAAATAATCTACCAGACGGACATTAAAATAAAAATTAGTCGTCTACCCTATTGTACAATCCGCATGAACCAAAATTCGAGTTTGACAGATTATTTTTCGGACGGTTAATGTCATTTCGACGAAACCAGAAAATAGTTATCGTTTGATTTTAGTTTGGGTTAAATTTTATTAAAAAATAAATAAAAGTAATTGCAAGTCTTCGTTTTATCACGGTTTCTTCGTGTGGGCAACACGTAGGGCACCAAAGAAACCACTTAAATGACAATATAAAATCAATGTATAGTCAGCTCAAATAGTTTGTTAATACGAATCTATATATTTAGGGTAATCAAATACTTATTTGAATACCTTATGTATTGTACATAAATGTTTCATGAGTAATGTTTTATTTTAAAACTAATAATATCGCTAGAAAAATAAACTTAAGATTGCTAGTAAATATTTTCGCTATTCTTTCATATCTATTAATACAACAACATTTATAGATAAGATAATTTTTTTTAGAAATATATTGTTAATCATCATAACATGAAATTATTGTCTTAAATTCTCAAATTGTACTAATATAATACGAATAAATTTGGTTGTTGTTGTAAAATAATAAATAATTTTTAATTTCGAATCTAAATCTTTTTATTGCCTTTTTATTTACTTTCACTTCATTCGTTCATTGTAGTACACGAAAGTTGTCTATGGTTCCGAAAACGTTGTTTGCGGCCGCAAATCAAACGAAACTTCGCATTCGAGAACCGAAGTAGACCTCCTGAGGCCTTTTTTTTTTAAGGGGTGAAAATCATCGAATGACTGCTCCCGCCTGGGTGAGACGGGAGGGAGTGTCAGACTCTTACTGACTAAAAACCACCCCGTTCCTTCTCCTGCACGTCGAGCCGGAGCCCCGGTTACCCGTTAGGTTCTCCGCGACCTCCTGAGGCCTTAGTACGAGTTTGATTTACGTATTTATTCGAAACGAGTACGCGTTCGGCATTCTGATTGGCCGGCGCCAATGAATCAACCAATCAGAGCGCCGAACGCGTACTCGTTACGATTACTTTAAACATAAAACAAACTCGGACTAAGACCTCTGTAATATTGCGGGTTACGTTCGTTATCCACGTACCACGTATGACGTCACGTGACGTGATTGATGTTTCGTTAAAGGTATAGAACAGATTAAAAATGTTGTAATTATCAAATTTTGATTTTTAATTAAAAATATAAAACTTTCTTAATTCTCAAAAAAATCTAGTTGAAAATTCGTTAAATAAATGCTATGCAGATTTTATTTATGTGCACTTTATATTTTTCTTTATTATTGTCCGATTTCCTATTGTAACTGTAATTATACAGGGTGACTTGTAACTCGACGTATTCCTCTCGGGAGGTGATAATACAATTAATTTCCTACAAACTTAGCCCTGTGGTCTTTGGTCCGAAAATGGCTAGTTTCTGAGATATTCGTAGGAATTTACAGAATTGAATTATGGTCATGTTTGGATCCGCTTTGCATCTGCTCATTTCGAGCAATGCCGTAAAATTGTAAATAGGCATTGGAAAAGTATAAAATGCATAGCATCTATTTCTCCCTGTTCCGGTGCGGTGTGTACCTTGTGGTGCGGGCGCGTGGCGTGCGCGACGCGGCGGCAGTTGTCGCAGAGCGCGCCGGCCTCCAGCGCGGAGCCGGCGCACGCCGCGCACTCCCAGCGCGCCAGCGACCCGCACACCGTGCACTGCCGCGGCACTGCAACCACCATCATAGCTTTTCATATCGACCCACCACTGAATTAAACCATTGTTTTCCATCTATAGGTAAGCTAGACCAATCTAATAGGAGCTACTGTATTTTTGTTCACCAGATGGCGCTAGAGGGCAGTTCTCGTTTTTCGTCCAATAGGGAATTGTGACACTCACACCATTAATTCGGACGTTCAATATTTGACAGCTGCAGTGATTGGACAATAAGGCCTATTGTTACACTGCGCTATCAGTCTGGTGACCAAAAATACGGTAGCACCCATTGGTTCAAATCACTCTGATAGTGGTCACTGGTGAAATACATCGGAACACAAATTTTGATTTCGCTGATGATCATCAGCTGAGCGATCGCTAAGCTCATACTAATCTATGATATCGACAGACAGTAACTACTAATAGTGCAATAACTATTTTATGCATTTGTAATATAGTTTAGACATTAAAATATTACTTACAGCCTTCTATTAAATCTGTGACATCTAAAAGGGGTGATGGTATTACTTTTTGGTATAATTTGTATTGTTTGCCAAACCGTGGCATTTGAATGATGAATGCTGCTGGAACCTGTAACAAATTTGTAAAATATGTACAGACGAAAAATTTAACTACTAAAATATTGTCATTATTAAATCCGCCATAATGTTACCTTGGTAAATTCCTACCTCACTAAGTTTAACTCCAGATGTTGTAAATGACTGTTCTAAAAGCTGCTGCACAGTCGGGACTGACACATGTTCATCTTTCTCTACAAAAAGTTGATAGCAGTAAGCTTCTTGTCCCGAAGACAGTTTCAGGAACGGTTCAGCTCGTAACAATTGCGCTACTAGGCCATTTAAGAATTCTTCTGGATCCTATAATAATACACAAGAAAATAGATAAACATATGCGAAAGTGACACGTAATTATTTATTGAAATTAAGATAGGAAAACATTTACTTCACATACATACAAAACACGAGACAATCCTACTAAAAAGCTGTAGCTGTAGTATCTACATGGTTATTATTGTTCCTTTATTTCAACTATGGCCCATATAAAATATAATACACAAATAAATAAAAATACAATACATTTATCTAGTATATATATACAAAGATTAAAATAATATAAATACTATAAAGGTTATAATACGGGTTGGTTGCATATCCATATTGATATATTTGTTTCTTATTATCTTCAGCTTCGTAATCTTACCTTTTCTTCAGAGGTGAGTCCAGGCACGTCAGAGAGTCTTTCGAGTAATGTACGTAATTTCATGACTCTATCAGCACGCACATACCCATGCTTTCTAAGGGGATTCACAATTTCTTCTCTCAGAACACGTTGTACTTCGGAATAATGCGGAGAATCCTATAAGAAACAAAAAATTTGGTGTTATTTTGAAGTCAGGGAAATTTAAAGTAGATATAATAGGTACAGGTACTTACTTCAGGTTCGGGAGGACGGTATAAAAGAGCATCGAAAACACTTGTGAAGGTGAACATGGCAAAGAGTGTAGCATCAAGATAGCATGAGTTATGGTGTCCTTGGATACCACGGTTCTTGCCAGCCAGCTCGCCGAGCGAGTTCAGAGGGGGCACCACACCTGGTACCACAGGACATTCCGGCTGAAACATTCAGTTTACTTGAACACTATTGAAAGGTTATCATAGATTATTTTAAGCTCACAATATACATTTTATATATTCTGTGATTTTAAGGTACATCTTCTTATTTGTTATCTCTTGGAGGTAATATGTTCCTGATACCTACTTGGTCAAAGTGGTCAGCATCATGAGCATCGCTGCGGTCAGGGGGCGGTGTATCGCGAAACCGCGCGTCGCGGCGGCACAGCGGCAGCGGCACGAACAGCGCGCGCCCCGCTGCACACGAGAACAGGCGCGCGCCGCCGCGGCTCCCGTCACCCAGGCCGCACACGCTTTGTTCTAGCTCCACTCCTGCTGTCGCTGTGTCTAAAGACGAAATAATATTTACACTCTTGATTAAGTAACTCGTAACAATTATGAACGACCAACATATGGACTTCGGGTTGTTGTTTACTTACCATCAATAACTCCTATCCATCTGACTACACCGTAATAATGCTGGTCGACATCGGTCGCGACTTCCACCAGTGATCCGACTCCGATATCTTCCGGCACATGGACTGGTGATGGTTTAGACTGCGGTGGAGCCGCGCGAGGCGACCCAAGTGCAGGCGAATCATACAACTCTTCGGGAGCGGCTTCCGCATTACAAATATCTATTGGATAATAAATTAAATTACATACGAAAATAATTAAAACATACCAAAACAAAGAAAACTCTGAAACTAAAAATCATACTGAACAGTAATTTGGGCCATTTTGAATCTAGGACACTGACTTCACTTCCGGAAATGACATGTTAATTTACTAAGCACAAAATTTATCGGATATTGCGCGAAAGGTAGATTTATAAGTGGTTTTGGCCATACATTGTTCACATTCAAGCACACAGAGTGGTATTTCATCGATAGATAAGTCCTGTAAATACGACATGTTGGTGGACGCTGCACAACACGAGCGTGCCAGCCGGCCGGTCGCCCCCTACCACACTAGTGCCAAAATTAGAACCAGAAGAGCTATTATTGGAGGTGGATAGACGCGAGTTTTGCGCTCAGTATTCTAGCATAACATTGAAGTGTTTGTCAATATTAACTAAGGCATAGCCAAGTGCAGTGATATATATATTTATACAAATATGAATAAACCAGTAAGTTTACTGTGATCTTATTGTTGCGTAAGATTTGTATTACTAATACTAGCTAAAATCAAAATTATTTAACACACAAATGTTGAGTAGTGAGAATAACATTGACATTTACAAAGTCACCTCATAATTTTTGTAACCCCAGAAATTAAGATAGGAACATAGTTATTACTCATTAATTATATATAAACAGTAAATATATAACCAAACCTAATGAGTAGAGGGCTCCTGGTAAATGCAATTAGTTACTCTGATAAGAGAATTATGTATGATATGAGAAGATAGAATTATGAGGAATAATATTTGGAATTTCATTAATAGATGTTTGAAATGAAAATTTCATACTTATGTATTGGTATGGTAATTTTAAGTTTTTTATTTGAATAAATGAATTTCAACGTATGGTAATGGGTAATTTATATTTGTAACTAATTTAAAAGACATTTTTAGAAACTATTATAACATTTTTTTCTAGCCATTTTCTAAATAAACAATATGTATATTAGACAACAGCCAAAGTTGGTCAGCCAAAGTTGACTACCTTTTTGTCCTGTATAATACATAAAAATAAGTTTAGAAAAAAGTTTTAGTAAAGTGGTGCAATAGACAATAAGTTTAAGTAATCTGATGTTGGAAAAATCGGCCCTAAGACAAAAATAATGAGTGTACTTAATTTGGTGTTAAGGATAAAATGAATAGACTTCATTTATGACTCTTTTATTAGTAACAAATTATTTAATAATCTATTTTAAAGACCTAAGTTAAAAAAGAGAGAAGGAAAAAGGAAGAGAGATATTTTTAGAGTGTTTTTAGGCAGATTTATTTTTATGTGGATAAGATTTAAAAAAATTATAACTTACTTTTACAATACTGTTTGTCTAAGGTGTATGGCCAAAAGAAGGTAGTAAGGAAGTAATAATAATATATACAAACCAACTAAAATTCCAGTTTCAATCTTCTTTGGCTCATGAACCATTTTTGGCTGTATGTCTTCACTGACTGAAGGTGTTTGTGTATTGTAATTAGGTTTATTGCGTCTTCTTTCTGGTGCTAAATGAGCCAGTAAATTTACAGACTTGATCCGCTCAGTTTGAGGTCGCTGCATAGTGCCTTTGTAATTTCTGTGCAATGATCCATACTCAATTTTCTCAGGCTCTTTCGGTGCTGGTGGCCAGCTTCCTCCAATTAAATTAAATAGATCTACCTAAAATATTACACACATTTTTATTGCTATGATTAATTTCATAAAATTAACACCACTTTATAAAACCCTCCATATGAATTTAGTTATTTGTTAAAGATTAAAACATTATTAAAAACATGCTGCACATGCAAATGATTTTCATAAAAAAAAATATTCATTGAGGAATATTTCCCAACATTTATAAATATTTGAATGTACATCACACATCCAATAAACCAATGTTGCATGCAGTACCTAAATAATAATTTACTTTCCAGTTGTTTGCCAAATGAGAACCAAAATGTAAGGAATATACGTATAATAACAAACACTTTTCAGATTAGACCACAACAGAAATTAACTTTAAAATGGTTATAACATTAACTTTTGTGCATTTATTTTTCTTTTGTGTTGTTAGTAAATAAAACATTCATAATTATATGGTTTTATAAAACCTGTTGGGTGTCTCTGCTGTGATTGTTATCATTTTCCGATGAGTTTTCACCTATATCGTTATTCATTGTCGTCAACGCTGTGTGCACAAAACAAATCACTACGTTCCTATTTAGAATAAAGTTCTATAATTATAATTATAGTAAAGAATATTTGTTGTTTTCTACTAAAAAGAACAATACACAACCGACCTGATTTTGATGTATTTATTAATAATTAGAATTAAATTGAAATAATTATCAAGTAAACGTAAAGTAGGTCAAACTTTGTGTTTTTATCATTTGTCGTGTCAGTGTGACATTATTTTGACGTGTATTTGACAGTCTTAAAACTTTTAACCTTTCCTTTCTCTCAACGTCCTTACTTTCAAGATATCAAAAATACTTAAATTTTTTTAAAAAATAAGTCATACTAGAATAAAATAAATAACACAATAAAAAATACAAGTTGGTTGAAAAATGTTCCTCTGCATCGACAGTAACAACGATTTTTTATCGTGCAGTGTAAAGGAACTCTACATTTTTATTAATTTGACCTTTTGTCAATCACCAATGACATCAATGTCAAGTAGTTGTCAAAAAATATAAATAAACTTGATCGCTTCTTGAAATTAATTTATTTTCCTTATATTAAAATAGTTAAAGTCACACAATAACTATTAATTTGATATTTTAAACATGTTAATGTAAAAGGTACTCTTTCTTTAGAAGTAATACTTGAATAAAAATGTTTACTCATTTATTGTGCAAAAGTGCAAGGATGCGTCAAGCATGTGCCTGCAATTCTTAGCAGAACAGAACATGTATAGTATATATAATATTGAGGAAACCTTAGCACTGTGTAAAAAACATATATTATTTTACAGCCGATCCCAGACATAATGATTCGTCAAGGAAGTATTGATGATATAAATACTCAACAATTTTTAAAGATTTCTAATTATGAAGACACAGTTCGTCAGCTGGATATATACTATGCCATAGGTAAGTTAATTTTACATTCTATAACAAAATCCGTAATAATTTTGGTGTCCTCTAAACTGAAGCTGTAAGTTTTAATTCTCAAAACTATTATATAAAATTAATTATTCCTAAAGAGTGTAATGTGTATGGAAAGTACTTACTACATTTGCAGTTTAATTTATAAAAATAATAATTATAGCAATTTATAGAAATATACAATAGTACATCAATTCAATTGTAAATTGAATTTTACCACAAATTGTACAATATGAGTTTTTTATCACTTTATGAATAAGACTTTTAATTTAAAATATAATGAGATTAGCAAGTTTACAGAAGGCTTTTCTAATTGGAATCTTGTTTTGCAGTAAAAAGGCAGTTATTAAGATTTCAAAGTCCTATAACAGGATTATTTCCAGTTTTATCATCAGACCTCCACATAGGCAGTGTGAGAGATAGTATATACTGTGCATCTGCCGTGTGGGGACTATATCAAGCATACAGGTAATAAACAATTGATTTATTCATACTGTAGCTATTTGCTAACAGACTTGTATTGAATTAGGTGGTTGAATCCTTTTTGGTGCATTTTTGTACAAGTTTTATTTCCTGTAAATATGAGCTATGAATGCATAGTTTAAACTATATTTGCTACTTCCAGTTTTACTAAGACATTTAGACAGTAAATGGAATTTATTTCCTGAATATATCTGTAATGAGGAACATTCTTTAAAAGATTTAAAAATTATAAAGCTTAAAAGTTAAAACACATTCAATTCTGAATGATAAAACTCCTAATTTTGATTGATATACTATATTTGTTTGTGAACATTTCAGACGCATTGATGATGACCGGGGTAAATCTTATGAACTGGGTCAGAGCACTGTGAAGTGTATGCGTGGTATCTTAGAGTGCTGGGTGAAGCAGTCGGCGCGAGTGGAAGCATTTAAAACACGACAGAGCGCCGCCCATGCGCTACACGTCAAGTTCCACCTCACCACAGGGGAGCCAGTGCTCACAGATGAACAATATCATCATCTACAAATAGATGTTGTCTCTTTATATTTACTGTTCCTTGTACAAATGATCACATCTGGACTACAAATTATTTACACCCAAGTGAGACTAACATAATATCCATTTTATAATAATGTTTCTAATGCAAAAGTGACCTACATACCTATATCACTTTATACTTACAGGATGAAGTGGCATTTGTTCAAAATTTAGTATACTATGTAGAAAGGGCATACAGAACGCCAGATTATGGTATGTGGGAAAGAGGATCTAAATATAATGATGGAAAGCCAGAAATTCATGCCTCTTCAATTGGTAGGTCATACAACAATAGTGTTTAATAATTATGTTCATAATAGGAATAGAAAATTATTACTTTAAATAATTCAGGTATGGCAAAGGCAGCACTAGAAGCCATCAATGGATGCAATCTTTTTGGGGATAAGGGAGCATCATGGAGTGTAGTTTATGTAGATATTGATGCCCATAATCGCAACCGAAGTATTTTTGAAACTATGCTACCACGCGAGTCAAGTTCCAAGGTATGTGGCGTAGATAGTTACTTACATTCAGTTACTTTAAAAATACACGTAGTGGGAATTTAATCACTGAGTTTTCGGTAATTTTTAGGGGGTCGACGCCGCGTTATTGCCAACAGTATCGTTCCCGGCTTTCGCAACACACGAAGAACACTTAGTTCAGTTGACGAAAAACAATATCTTGCGACGTTTGCAAGGGAAGTGTGGATTCAAGAGGTTTAGTCGTGATGGGTATAAGTGTGTGCTAGAAGATCCCAATAGGCGGTACTACCATGAAGGGGAACTCAAAGAGTTTGATGGAATCGAGTCGGAGTGGCCCTTGTTCTACGTAATGATGATCATTGATGGCGTGTTCCGCACCCTGCCTGATCAAGTCGAGGAGTACCAGAAACTATTGAAAGCTAGGATTTATATGGATGAATTTGGAGGTATGTAACTAAGTTATTTTACGATAATATATTATTCACTAGCTTCTGCCAGCGGCTTCGCCCGCGATCCCAGGGGTAAGATGTCTATGTATTACTTCTGACCATAATCTACCTCTGTTCCGAATTTCATTCCGGTCCCTTTAGTCGTTTTAATATGACAGAGTAACAAACATACACAAAAACACATAAACTCACATATTTTGACATTTATAATATCGAGTCAAGCTAATTTCATCCATCGGCCCTACAGCGTAAAGCCTATGGATGAGTATTGTAAACGTAAGAGTAAACAAATATAAGCAGAAAGCTCCGAGCTGCTAAGCTATCGGGAGTTACACGTGTTATTATAAGTCAATCATAATAGATAGACGTGTGCTGTTGTGGGATATTACTTAGATAATTTTATGTAGAACATTTCCGTCATTCATGAATTCTATGTAGCTTTAACTATTAAGTCTGCTCACGCGACGGAAGCTTAAAAAATGGAGTAATTTCTCCCGTTTCCCCAACACTTTCCTTCACTGCCCTGCTCCTATTGATTGTAGCATAATGAAAAGTATACCATAACCTCCCCAGGAGTGTGAAGAATAATCGTACCAAGTTTCGTTAAAATCCGTCTAGTAGTTTTAATTTCTATAACGAACAGACAGACAAAAATTTTACTGATTGCATTTTTGGCATTAGTATCGATCACTAATCACCCCCTGATACTTATTTTGAAAATATATTTCATGTACAGAATTAACCTCTCTACAGATTTATTATAAGTATAGATATTGATTGCCATTTAGGCTGTACAGTGAATTAAAAATAATGATTTTATTTCAGACCCAGTAATTCCTTGGTACTATTATGTACCTCGAGAAGGCATTGAAAATGAACGGAGTGAACCCAATTCAGTTCGGCGATTGCCTGCAAGTAAGTTTTAATCAAAATACCTATAATAGTTAAAATAATGTCCCCATTGATCGGTATAAATAAGTACCTACTTATAACTGGCTAAAAGGAGTAATTTTTATAATAATCACAACTTATAAACCAATTATAGGATTAATAAATTCTTACCACGACAAGACGTATTTAATTTTTATGTTTTCGGCTTACTCACGTAATTGTTTGACGATAAACTCTATTAGTTTCAAGCCATGCTAGAGGCCCATAGGGCATCGCGGAATGCTGCTCATGAATATAATAATTACACGAGTAAGCCGAAAACACTATAATGGATTTAGTATGTCTCACAAAAATTATAAATACGTATTTAACCATATTTAATTGTTATATCCTACATTCTTATCTATACGGCATAAAATTGAACCTAATACATTTAGTAACAGCAAAAAATACTTTAAAACATTAAAACATGTGTAACTTAAAATAATTGCAGATCATCCGAGTGACGGTAACGACAAAGGTAATCTTGTAATGACATTGAGAATGAAATATTTTCTTCTTGTTTAACACTTTCCTCGTTTTCCTTTGTATTTAACACATGATAAAACATTCTTCACAAATAAAAATAATCTATCCACTTTGTATATAACAATATATATTTAATAAAAAGATTTGCTAAAATCTATAATATAAATTACTAACATTTTTTTTCTTTCGAATAAATTTTATGGTGCAGTGTGGCTAATCAGCTTTCAGATTAATATTTTATCACAATAAAATATAGTTTAATTAGTTGTAGCGGTTTTATTTATAGTAGGTATACAACTTTTTATGCTTAGATATATCTATTCATTATATTTAAGTTAAACTGCAATCTCCTTAATTATTTGAGGTAATGGAGTAGAGATACAGATGACTGATAAAACAATTAAAAATATTTATAATTCTATAATAATGTAATGATAATTGAACATAGTTATAATGTACATATTTGGGACTTGGTTTTTCATTATTATTTTCCCGGCTCGGTAGATGAGTTAATCCTCAATTCTAAACTTTAATAATGGTTATGGATAACGAAATGTAACAAAAATTCTTGGATAAATAAAAATTAATTAAACGATTTCGCTTAAATATTAATTCAACGTATATGTAGTTAGTGTACATAGAAAATGCAACTTATTTCTTTGGATTAAGGTTTAAAATAGTTTGCAGTGTTCAAAGGTCACCAGTTAACTGTTAATGTGTTTAGACACAGGTGGACTGTTCCTGTGGGCGCAGTCATTGTTCGTCTTGGCTCAGTTGTTGACTGGCGGACTGTTGCATGTGAACGAGTTGGATCCCATCAGGAGATACCTTCCTTCGTACAATAGGCCGCGACGTGCCGGCCGGTACTCTGCCTTTCAGGTGAGCTGAACTAAAAAATATTTAAACAATTTAAATTAATGCTGAACTTGACGCCTATCAAAAGGATTGACCACAGAAAGCTCCATGAAGAAATGACTGGAAGGAAGGTAGGGAGGCCTTTGCCCTGCAGTGGGACGATGAAGACTAATTAACTGTTGTTCCGGGTCTAGGTGTTTGTAATCGCATTCAAAACAGAGTAAACCCTAGAAATAAATTATATGAGTATCTACTGAGGGCCAATAATAGATATCCTACGCCATATTCGATCTTAGGATATTAACACCGAAAAGAACTGACGCTGAACACGTTTGGATTTTTGTCTTAGGAATATTAGCTTGTGATAACGCATATTAAACTGACTTTCCTACCCGAAATCAAGTTCGTATCAGATAATTCTGTCTGCAGTCATGTGACCTACCACCAAGTTATTTCTATATGACTGGTCTTTAAATATTTTTTTATTACTTTCATGTAAAACTTGCAGGCCAAGCCCGCGTTTGTAAGTATAATGAGTAAAAGTATTTGCATGAGCAGCTGACTACAACTACCTACAATGCAAAAGTGCACAGCATCAATATTACGTTATATGCAAATCTTATACTCGCAACTACCTTACCTATATGCGTTATGTATTGAAAACATTAGTAGCGAACAAGTTAATTGTCTATGCTTTCTGGAATCGCTTTCGTTGCGTAATAGTGACGTTATTTTTGTGTCTAGATGCCTACAGTGTACCCTAGGTACCTATTTCGGAAAATGAGTACTAATAAGCGGATTATAATACCTTTAGAAAATTTGTAGTTACTGCATTTACTTTCGTTATGTGCGTCAAATGTTGCTTCTGTGTACGCTCAATGTGCATTTAATTAATGCTGAAAGTTCAATAGTATATTACTTACCGATATTTTCACTGTACAGGGTATAGCAACTGATCTAGTTGTCCAAGTGGTGTTGATAGCAGAGTCTATGCGTCTCCAAGCCATGATGGGGACTTACGGTATACAAACACAGACGCCACACGAAGTCGAACCCGTTCAGGTAATTTTAAAATACTTACATAATTATTTTTACTTAGCTTTTGCAAAAATCGGTTGCCATCTGGTCTCCACAAGCCTCTAAAATGGTGGTGTTTTACTGGTTTGTGGATGGTTAAAATTGAATGCTGACCCTAAACCTAATAATTAATGTAAACGGTCAGGAGAAAGAAAAAGAAGAACACGTGAGCATTTAACTACAATTTATTCTGGTTGGTTAACAACACTAAAAGTTAATTATTTCCATAGGTTTGCAGTTCGACGCAGCTGGTCCACGTGTACAGAGAACTCGGAATATGCCCTAAACTGAAGCTCTCTGGACGTCCAATAAGGCCCGTGGGCTCCCTCGGTACCAGTAAGGTAAGTTGACTTATGCATTCCTTTGAAAAATCATCACAATTGGTTACTTCACGTACCCATATGTACCTCTAGTAACGACTCTATTACTATATCTACATAGGCGACTGTTGCAGACCTCGTTATGTGTGTTGAATGACATAAAACTTTTTTTGCAGCCTTCAAAATATTCAGCCAATTCCAGAATAGGTGTAGGTACATGGTACATAATTTAAAAAATAAATACTTATAATGATTACAGATATACAGGGTGTGCGGTATGACGGTGTTATGCTACCCGCTTATATTTGAAGTGTCCGAGTTCTACCTCTACAGAGACATGGCCTTGCTCATTGACGACATCAAGACTGAATTACAATTTGTTGGCAAGTAAGGAAAACTACTTCAACTTAACGCGCTTGTATAAAATTCCGTAACTTAAAACCGTAGTCAGTAGCAAAGCGAATGTGCAAGAATAGTAAGCTGTGTGCAATCCAAATCTATGTCATTTATTTAAACTCTATACCGTGAACAATAAAAAAACAGTCACAACTAGAATGAATGCACTCTCCTACAAACTTGGTCCATTGCAAGTAACTTTGTAATTTCTATGCTATAGCCATTTTTTCTATGCTACTAAATACAACTTAAATAGAGTGTTGTAAATTAGGTACTGGCGCCTGTCGGGTCGTCCGACAGTGTGTCTGTTGGTGCGCGAGGAACACATGCGCGACCCTCACTTCAAGCACATGCTCGACCTCTTCGCGATGCTCAAGAAGGGACACTGCGACGGCGTCAAAGTACGACTTGGAAGGCTGCAGAACCTGATCTCCAGCTCTTGTATGGGTAAGCATCATTTTTGTTCTAAATTGTCTAAATATTTACCTAAATAGTCACAAATTCACAATACATACAACAGATCACCTTTGAACGTCCCAAATATATATTTCGATCTGTCAGTTAGCTCCATTTAGCAATGTTTCGTTCAAAAATAACGTTTAATAATTTGTCCATAGAACATCTGGACTTCATGAGCCAGGGCGAGTTTCCTTCCGAGATGTTCACTCAGTTCCGTCAGTTAGAACACGAGTACATTGGCTACCAGTCTCTGACGGACGTCCCCCGCACCCTCACGTACCGCGAGGAGAATCTCTCGTACGACTCATACAAACATCGCTCCACACCCGACGTGGTATCTGCGCTGAGGTCCATCGATAATATCTTTGCTCAGTGCCAGCTCTGGGGGATACTTATAGAAAGAGAGGGTCCTATGTTTGAGGTACGCATACTTTCCCATTGTTAGATTAATTTTTCGATAAAGTAAATTCGTCGACAAATGATAGTTGGTTAATAAGCGACGCCGTTTCATAAAAAAGCCGTAAAAAGAACAACAGTCAGCCCGTCAAACTATACTAAACCAAGTTTTGAAGAGATTTTCAATGTTATTGCGATTGCGAAATAATAAGGTTGAGAATCCACCCATTTGACTCATGGTAATGCTTGTGTAGGTAAACGGTACGAACGCGCTGGAGTCTCTGAAGAGTCTGTACCACAGCGCGGGCGTGCTGCGACACTGGCGCGCCGTCAGGTACTGCTCGTCTCTACTCAACCATACTGTCGACTCCATCAGCCCCTTCATCACCACGGTGCTCGTCAATGGAAAGCAGGTGACAAGCTCATTAAGTAACAAGTTTTAAAAGAACTAACGTCGCTCTTGGTGAATATTCCTTTTTTTATTACAATATTTTCGTGACTACCTACACCGGTCCAATCGGTTGCGCGCCCTCCTATTATGGTAAATTAGTCGCGGAGAACCTAACGGGTAACCGGGGCTCCGGCTCGACGTGCAGGAGAAGGAACGGGGTGGTTTTAGTCAGTAAGAGTCTGACACTCCCTTCCGCCTCACCCAGGCGGGAGCAGTCATTCGATGATTTTCCCCCCTAAAAAAAAAATAATATGGTAAATTAGGCAATCTGTATTCTGCGTTTACTTTGTTAGTGTGAATTTCTTCTAGGGCAATGACAAAAATAAAAACGTTAATTTCTTTTTAAACAGCTGACTGTGGGAGTGATTGGTCAGAAGGAGACGGTATTTGACAAGCCCATGACTCCCGGTGAAATACAGTCGGTGATGTACTCCACTATACAACCGTACGACGTCATCGGCGCAGTATTACAACAGGTACCTAATTTGATAGTCAATATACCTACCTAACAATAATTAAGTTTAAAATTAAGGTGAACTAAAACTTCGAACTTTATTTTTGAAGCTTCTAAAATTATTATATATTGCATCGAACTTGTTGGTTATTTCCATTAGTAATTGGGAAACTTCAAGCCTAGAAAAAAAAATTGAAAATTGTTGTTAAAATTTTTTTGAGAAATGTATTGTTAACAAAACTCCAATTCTTTTTACTAGGAAATCGTATTATATTGCGGACGGCTGATAGGAACGAACCCGGACATGTTCCGTGGTATCCTAAAGATCCGCGTGGGCTGGGTGTTGGAAGCCATCCGTATATACTTGCAGCTGTTCCCCAACGAGAAGCGCGCAGACGGCACGCTGGAGAGCCTCTCGCCTTACAAGCTTCGCACGCTACTACAACAAGTTCTCACTGTTTCCGACTGGGCAGAGGAGAGAGGGTAATTATATTCTTTATAAAAACAGCGCATTAATTTTTCATTCATTGGTCCTGTATAATCTAATCTTTACAAATTATTCAATTAACATTTTAAACCAATATATTCAATGCATTGGTAAAGATTGCATAAAATCCTTTTCAGTGGGTTTTGAATTTATCGCGAATAGACAGAGACCCGGTATAACCTGTGAATAATTCGTTATTGTTAGATACTTTATTGTACACCTTACAATATAAACAGTTTTTTATATTATGGTTTCGTTATCATAACAGTTTGACTCCACTACAAAGACGACAGCTGGAAGGATGCTTGTGTCGTGTGCCAAAACATTTCTACATACAAGTTTGGGATATATTGCTGCGGACACCGAAAGGCATTATTATTCAGGTAGCTATGCGATACTTGATCTCAAAAGATTGTTATATAATGGTTTTGGTAGTCAAATCCGCATGCATTACATACTTCACCTAACCTTGGTTCGTGGTGACAGGGCCACTCGATCCCCGCGGAGCCGACGCTGGTGAACATGTCCCGGTCGGAGCTGTCGTTCGCGCTGTTGGTGGAGGAGGCGCTGGTGCGCGTGGCGGCGCCGGCGCGGCGCCAGCTGTGCGTGGAGCTGCTGTGCGTGCTGGCCACCATCCTGCGCCGCAACCCCGAGCTGTACCTGCAGCAGCCGCTGCACATCGACCGCCTCGTCGACGACGCACAGCTCACCTTCGCCAAGGTACTCGCGGCCACACATCATTCAGCTTTTTGTACCCTGCTATATCTGTGATCACTGACACCCTACGATAAGTAGGTTTGCGTCAAGCTTTAGGCTAAAAATAAAAAGTCGGACTATTCGAATGAGGTTCTTGCCTTCATTCGACTATATTGCGTACCGTTTTAAAAATTCTAAGTACTAGCACGTGGTTTGATATATGATATTCTGGCTGCCTTGTATATGGATGGCCTAAGGCATATAACATGGTACTGGACCTACCGAAACGTGTGTGTTGCATGGTAAAATGCTCACTTCTGCGTACTGGATTAAAAGGTGTAATATAGTGATGTGTGTGACTCTAATTTACAGGATAGCGGAGTGACGGACAGTAACGCGCTGAGCAGCGCGGCGCCGGGCGTGTCGGTGGGCTACCTGGCGCGCGCCGTCGTCAACAGCGTGCTGCAGGGCGCCGCCGCCGCGCACCTCCTGCCTCGTGTCCTGACGCACTCGCCCCTACACCTCACTGCCAACACTCCCACAAACATTCATTTCTCAAGGTTGACTTGTGTATTCACACTTCATCTTTTAATGTAGTAAGTCGACACTGAAGACTCAACTTACGAACTTTTTATAATTATCTCAATTTTATATGTATTGTGTTATCGTTCTTGTCAGCCGGGCAAGACTAATGTTATTACAGCCATTTATCTTTTATATAGGTAAAGTTAATTATGTTTTATCGCGACTGAAATTTAGTAAGTGCTCTCATAGCACCAAGTTAAAAGATATAATCTTTTCACAATGTAGTTGTTACTATTCAATTTTATATAAAATTCAATATTAATATATTAGTTTAGTTCCAGAATCTGTTGTTAGTTGTTATTTTAGGTAAGTGAAATTGTTATTTTTATGTAAGTATTAAAATACATTAACGAAAGACATGTGTATGCATTCCTCGTTGAACCGTGATTTTGAACCTTGGCTTCGCTAGCATCAGCTTGATCTAGTTCGCGACGGCGCTAGAGGGCCGTACAGTTTCAGTTGTTTTACTGTTTTGTAAATCTACCTATAATTTCTTGTAGCATATCAGTTCCAGGCGAAACTAAACGTTAATGTAAACACAGGCAAGGAATTTATTAATTTGCAAAATACATAGGTTTACATTACGAAACATATAAAAGTACTTATCATTATTTGAATATAATGAAATTATGAAAACTTAATTTTAGATTGTATATGAACTAATATTTTATTTTTATATGAAGTGTATGTTTTTTCGACCTATCCTTAGATGTAGAATCATTCATTGCAAATATGTTACGGAATAATTAACCCGAATTCTGAATTTCGGAATATAAAATGTTATACAAAAGGAATATTATTGTTAGATGAACAAGAACTCTGATTTCTTCATCTAAAATATTTGTTGTAAGAATATATTGTTTAGTGAAAGTCTGATCAGGATTTCATAGAACATGAAAACATTTTTTATGGAAATAAAGATGTAATATAAACAAGATTTCTTTGATTATTGTTTATTATAAAATAATAAGGTTCTCCCGTAACAATCAGGGTAAATAAATAGAGGAAATGAAAAAAAACGATAAGTAGGCGCGCACAATATTATAACCAAGACAAAGTAAGTTCATGTGTATAGAAACAGCCTTAAATTAAAAAAAGCTTGTAAATAACAATTTGATACAATGTTTACTTGGATACTCTAGTTATTACTTTATTCGTTGTGAAACATTCACTGATATTTTATTTTTATCACAAAATATTTATAGTTTCGTGCGTAATTTTTTAATATATTGATAAAATTGTCTTTTATCTGGTTGAACTTTAAAAAATTTAATTCTCAATATATAAACTAGGATCATACAGCATTAAAACTAGTTGATAAATAAAAATATTCACTGTTCTACAATTAGGATGTTTTATTATATAAAAACAATCACATATGTATTCACAGGTAACGAAAAATCCTTCACACAAAACAGACTTTGTTCATACCATTGCACTCATTTCACTACTAAAATAAATTAAATTGGCAGTATGGCTACTATAGTCCATTGTATATTTTATTATTTGGTGTTTGTTTAAGTATTTTTCGTAGTGCTGAAACAAAAAAAACCAAGTAGATTAGATATAAAATATTCCTTGATGTAAATAAATCAGAGTAATATTGTTGAAATGTAGTATTATGAAATACCTTCTTTTTCCTCATCAGTAAAGTCTTGTTTAGGGAAATCAATGTCGAATGTGATGTACAGATTTCCATGGAGGTTGTTATTTTCGAAGTTAGGCATGCCCTCACCCTTCTTGCGGACACGGGCACCAGCCCATGTCACTTTGTCACGAGTTACGGACACTTTGTGACCATCCAAGTGCACAAGTTCCATTGTAAAACCAGTTAATGCATCCTGTAAGACAGATGTTTATTGTTCAATTTGATGGCATTTCCTCTTATGACCCTCGCAAAACACGAGCATTGACTACATATAGCATGTACCAATCTTTGACAAACATGTATAACAAAAGTGTAAAACTATGTAATGACTGCTCACTATTTCAAGATAAGAATTTAATCTACATGTAAAACCGGTTCACCTGTTACACTCATATTATAACTTACATAGTTAACTTGTTGGAATAGTTTAGGCTGAGATCTGATAAGAATTTTAGCTACGCTTTTAACACAGACTGTTATAAAATTACAAACCATTTTCTTTCCAAAAATGTATTACATTTCATTATAATGAAATTTATTTGTTACCTTTGTTTGTTAATATTTCTTTTCGAATTATAATAGAATTTATTATTTATTCATAGATGAGTTATCACCAACCTGTAGAGAAATTGTGACATTGGTGTAGAGATCGTCTCCTTTACGGGTGTATTGTGGATGCCTTTCTGTTGTGAATACCATGATCAGGTCACCAGGCTCTCCATCCATGTGTGGTTCACCTTCTCCACGTAATCTGGACTTGTGGCCATCTGGTGCACCAACTTCTACCTGTACAAATTTATTGGTTTGTTTTTATAATAAATTATTATTTCTTCTAATTTCATACACACATTGTTTATTCAATTTTAGAGTTCTACATACAGCTGATGAAAGATATTATAATTTTAGATATTAATTATAATTTTCCTTATACAACCTCACTGAATATTAAATAACAAATAGTAATATATTATAAAGGTTATCAACATAATTATATGAATGGATTAGTTATCAACTGTATCTGGTATTTTTACCTTTTAAGAAAAATTTGGCACTATATACATACTATTGTTTAATTAATAAAATTGAGATGTAATTATATATTGTTTTTGTAACAATACTTCAAAGTTACCTCAATCTCTAGTAGCCTCTCTTCATTAACCAATTTGACATTAGGGCATTCGTCACACACAGTCTGTTGCATCATCTGGAACCGACCCGGGCCAAGGTTCCTCGTCACCATCTCTTGTCTGCAGTTACATTTCCGTGTCCCTGAAGCTGGTTTGATAACAGGTTTGTTTCTAGTTATCTGAAAATTTTAAAGTAATAAACAAGCTTTTAAAAAGTATAGTGTATCAAAATAGGTTTCTGTTATTTAGTTTTTGTTTTTATATGGAATAAGAGGAGGAAGAGGATGAATAAAAATATATCCTTGGCAACAAAAGCTTCTCATTGTTACTTACCTCTATGAAGTTTCCATTATATAGTTCTTCAAGAGTGACAGTGAGCTCCATAATAATATCCGCCCCTCGAGGTGTTTCATGGTGTTGTGGCTCACCACCAAAATGGAAACCGAAGTCACCGAAAAAACTTGCGAATGGGTCATTGTTATTCATCATACCGTCTTTTTTAAGACAGTCCTCGCCACAACGATCATAGAGTTCTCGTTTTTCAGGATCCGAAAGTGCTTCGTAAGCTGCTCCGAGGTCTTGGAACTTCTGTGAGGCGTCAGGGTCATCTTGATTCTTATCTGGATGTAATGCTTTAGCTAATTTTCTGTAAGCTTTTTTGATTTCATTTGTAGTCGCGGATCGAGATACTCCGAGAATTTGATAGAAGTCTCGACCGGCCAACGTCAATACTAATGCAGACGTGAGATATATTAAACAAATTAATGCTGTATTACTATTCATTTTGTTAACTTTACACCTAGGAACTAATTTAGAAGCTAAGTAGCTTAAAATTCAAGTAAAAATCTGGAATGATAGTCCTCAACACATTTCGCTTTTTGACAACAGCATTACTAGTTTGACAAATTCGCTATAAGACAATTCGTCCGCTTACGATTGGTCTGAAACATGACACACGAAAAATGTTTCTTATGTAGTGATAATTGGAAATTTCACTCTTGTTCCCTTGTGGTTAAAGTTTAAATCAGCGTAAAAAGTGGATTTTGTATCATCCAATCATTTGAAGACTCGTAAGCAAAAAGTTACTAGATTTAAAAAAATCCATACTTGGAACATTAACTAAACTTTTGATGCTGGCACTTACTTTAACGACTATTTAAATTTTTATTTAGTAATTTAACTAATATTTAATATTCGTAGCAATAACAGTAAAATGTATTTTAATTTTGCATTTACATGCTGCACATCAAGTGACTCAATGAAAACGTCTTCTCTATTATAGATTTTTTATCTATCTTCATTTGGTTGCTTTTTGAAAAGTCATTGTATTGCTGTTGACAGTGACATTTAGGAGCATTGCTTGCAGAAATACATTTTTTGTTTCGTCGGCTTTCTCACAAAATCTGTTCAATACCAATAAAACGAAGTTACTAAATCTATAAACTACAAATATGGCTTCAATTCTTGTGCCTGAAGTACCAGCTCCAGGATTTTCCTTTGAAAACTGCCAACGGTAAGGTCCTAATAGTTCAGAAGCAGCAAAACAGTTCAGTCGTGACTCGCAGTTTTATAAACTTATTCACTTTATTATTTACAGCAATGCATTTTTGGCGCAGAAGGGATTCCCAGCGCCCACGGCCACTAAAACCGGTACAACTATCGTAGGTATTATATACGCGGATGGTGTGATTCTCGGCGCTGACACCCGAGCTACGGAGAACACTGTAGTGTCTGACAAAAACTGTCAGAAAATCCATTACCTTGCCGGAAACATGTACTGTTGCGGTGCCGGTACTGCCGCCGACACCGAAATGACTACACAAACAGTTGCATCACAGTTGGAGTTGCAGCGATTGCATACGGGGCGCACGGTACCCGTCGAGACTGCTGCAACTCTACTGAAGCGTATGCTCTTCCGTTATCAAGGTTATATTGGAGCTGCTTTGGTCCTTGGCGGAGTTGATAGAACTGGGCCTCACATCTACTGCATTTACCCTCACGGGTCTGTAGATAAGTTGCCTTATGCTACTATGGGTAAATATTATACTGTTTCATTTGAGTATTGTGAATATTTTGAAGTTGTTTATGTTTACTAACAATACAATTGTTTAATTTGTAAATAGGTTCAGGTTCATTAGCTGCTATGGCAGTGTTTGAGGCTGGTTGGAAGCCAAACATGAATGAAGAGGAAGGAAAGAAACTTGTTAGAGATGCTATTGCTGCTGGTATCTTCAATGACTTGGGATCTGGCTCTAATGTTGATCTGTGTGTCATACGTAGCTCAGGACCTGCTCAGTATCTCAGAACATATGAAGAAGCCAATGTCAAGGTATATTCTAATTAGACTTATGTACTTGTTAACTGTTTATTGATGTAGGATGACACAAAGACTAATTGGGTCACCTATTTTCATTTCAGGGCAAGAAACAAGGATCCTACAGGTATGCCCCCGGTACTACAGCTGTGCTGAAGCAGCGTGTCATTCCCCTGGAGGTTACATCTGTTAGTGTGTCCAGCCCTCAGCCAATGGAAGTAGAACCTAGCCACAGCCGCCGTTAACTTCATAATCTTCATATTGTATTACATTAAAATTGTTTACAAAATAAATGTAATTTTTTCTAACTGTAGTTATTTTAATGAAATAAGTACCTTTGAGCATGAAAATAATTTTATTCAACACATAAAAAATTATAAAATATATGGACGGAATAACTTAGTAATACATTTTATGTAGTAGAGTATTATATTTAAATGTTTCTCTCAGTCTATAATTACTTATAAATACAGTTTAGGAGACTGGTCTTGTCGCCAAAACCAACCATTACATTTTGTTATTTATTGATTAATTTTACTTATTCTAATTATGTTCATAATCATCAAGGCAAAGTGACAAGATCTTTGAAATGGCAGCTGAAATAAGAATTACACAAGATAATATTGTCAGCCCTTTTTATGGATTATGAAATCCCAGGTGTCCTTCCATCTGAGATTCAAAAGGTCATTTTCAGTCAAATCAATATTCCCATAGTTGAGAACACTAAACTTTTTAAAAGTAATAACTACATAAGCTAACCAAGCTGCAATACATAAAATAAATATATTTGTCATTGGACGAGTTTTTTCTTGGGATTGTAGAATAAAATATATGTGATCTATGACAAATGACAAGAGTAAAATTTTGAAAGTGTATGCAGGTAGATAGTGGTGAAGAAACAGAGTCCGGTCCATAAAGAAATAAGGTAAGTAGTGGATCCAGTACCCCAGGAAGAGAATGCAGCCACCATCATAAAATTTCTGCAACGCCCAAGGAGGTAAATCTGCGAAGGCACGGCGTTGGCGAATAGCATATAAGGCGAGGAGGACGCTGTACACAACAACACTTATAGTTCCAGTGTACCAGGTTATCAGATTCCCAATTAAATGCACCTGAGCCTGCAGAAAAAAAGATAAAAACAAGGTTTCATACCATTTTAACGATATTTCAGTGTTAAGTTTTATTCAAAAATTTCTACCTACTAATACAACGCAATGCTTGCTACAGTTGGTCCGTAAATTTTGAGACGAATGTTTACCCGAAAACACTTTGAGCCTACTCAACAACCCCACCCCATCACCATTGTGTGCGTTCGCGCAGCGGAATGTTTTTTTTTTTTTTTTTTTTTTTATTGGAATGTTGCTGAATTTAAAGATTTTAATTAATTCATTTATTTAAGGGACAAAAAACAGTTGCAAATTAAGATTTTACATAAAAAGTTTTACATTAAACAACAACTAAAATAAATATGTAAGTAACCCACACCATTGCCCACAATTTGGTATAAAGTATAACGGCAATAATGACCGTGCTGCGGTAGTGTTATCGTAATTTAATTAAATTAAAGTTTACTAAACATAATTAATACATAAAAGGATACAACAAAAAACCATTGTACATTGTACTTATGATTAAGAAAAAGAATACTAATTAATATCCAACCATCACTGTAGCAACCCAGCAGTCAGAAGCTCCACGGCCTGCTTTCTAAATCTATGTTTTGAAAGACAAAACATGTCCAAACCCATGAAATGCAAGTTGTATATTTCCACTAAGCGACGAAGAGGCGCGCGCGCCCCGGCATTAGTCCTGCACTTGTTAGTGTGGAACAAACGCGGAACCCGCACCCCTCTGTGTATTACTGACCTAGGAACTGCGTAAAATAGTTGATTGGTCAAGTCCATGCAGTCAAATCTATTATTACACAAGCCATGAAGCATCATAACAGCCAAAAGCAAACATCTAGACTCTAAACTTAGCATATTATAACGTGTAAGCAACTGTTCATACGGAAGTTTTGAATAATAACATTTGAAATTTACAGATCGCAGGAACTTTTTCTGTACCATTTCCAATCTAGAACTATACTTATTGTAGAATGGATTCCAAATTACAACAGCGTACTCAAGCTGTGACCGTATCAATTTTTTTTACCATACACAATTGTAGGACGTCATACACTAATTATTTGCATAATTAAAATCTTTAAATTCAACAACATTCCGCTGCCTGAACGCACACATCACCATTTAGGAAAAGCCTTCTCTGCCTTTCAAATGTATCACAGATACTCACGTTTGAATTGGGTGACAACCAATATGCGATAGATCGAACGAGGAGTGGCCATTCAGTAGGGTCACTGGCGAACATTATGGCCTTGCGGTGCATCAGGCGCGTGCGCTATCATTTTGTACTGCAACTCTGCAAATTTCTCCCAAAATGTCAACTGTGTCACAGCAGTTGGTATCATTTCTGCAGATACAAGCTCGCGTTCTCTTTCCTTTCTGTCTTCAGCTAAAATGATAAAATAAAGTTAGTATTAGTAAGAACTCACCCAAGTTACATGAAAGTAGACTGACTTGATTGATTTTTATTCTTTGTTAACGCTGTTATTTCACCTTTTGTGTAGCGATGTTCTTCAACGTTCCATATGGTATCTTGATGTGTAAGAACTTTATCAGCGACTACTTCATGCTGATGGAAGCCCCACGAAGGTAATTGGCGACCACTGAAACGTAGCGCGGAGCCAGAATCAACGTGTATCAATCGAACTAAGGAGCGGATGCTATCCCACGTAGCGTCTTCACTATCACGGTTAACAATATCTATTCTCCAGAGATTCTGTGCTGGCATCGACACGTTATAGTCGATGTAGCATGAAACTTCCTAAAAAAGCAGATTTAAGTATTTATTTCCGTTCTGAACTACAATTAAATTATAATGAATGAAGTTTAACATGCTGATTGTAAGTAGGTGGCACTATTATGTGATTCTTGTTTCTGGTTACCTGTGATTGTGGCGACACAGGCGCCGCGACATCATGCGAGTTCAACGCACGACTAGTGATGCCATGAAGGAGCTGAACAACATCGCCGTGTCGTATAGCGTCCGGGGGCCGCGCGACAGTCAGAGACGCCTGGTCTGGACGCTTCACTATCCACCAGTTGTTAACGTCTTTGAAACTATAACAAGTCACTTGCTGCTGATGTGAGGACCCACGTCCGTCCGTGTACCTGACGGGGTACACGTGAGCGTGGGAGTGTAGCCAGCACGTGCGACCATGTGTGTGCCTAAAATTCAATAATTCGTAGTACTTAATAGTATAAGATTGATAATTTAGTATTTATCAACCTAAGTTACATTTTTTATGCAGCAATATAAGATACCTTAGAGTTATTTGAGAGCCATGCGCAACATGTAAGGGTTGACCCCGAGTTATACTAGCGAGTCCACCTTGTAGGGATGCTTGGAACGCGCTTGTCATGACACTGTCGTGAGGACCAGCTTTTGGCAACATCGTCAAATGAGCATAAAATACACCGACATACACAGCTAACGGTATTGTTATAAGAATCAGTAGCCGCCATAATGCTGATAAAGCGAGACGAAGTCCAGATCCTGGTTGCCCAATCCACTGCCAAATTTGTCTTCCCACTAGAAAGACTGCTAGGAAATACGAATATAGGCCTGAAAATTTCACTCTGTAACAAAAGACAACATATTATTATAATTCTCATAGTAGGTAGGAAAGATAAATAAGTGCCCTATATTATGCTAACTTCCAGTTGTACTTAGCAAACTACCTGTATTTCTAGAAAACATTTATTTTGGCAATTTGTAACACATTTTGAGCTTACTTCTTCTTTTCTAATATCTAAAAGTATATATATAAAAGAGATTTAAAATTTTGACGAAGATTCACTATTAATTTAAAATACGCGCGTAATCGACGTTTTGTCGATTGCTGGTTCCCTAGGAGTGCGGTCTTCTAGGGTATTCTAAGATAATACAAAATACGCGTGGATGAAATTATGTAGGATATAAGGAGCAGTGGACTTCTCCACACATGTTAGAGAGGTAGGAGGACCTACTCGTATTTTCTTTGAATGTTTATTTCCCTTTGACATCAGACAATGATATAAATAATAATACTTACGAAAAGCAACAACCAAGTGAGAATGCAGCAAAGCAAAGCCAAACAACACTTGCAAGACCTGTTCGACGAGTACTTCTAATAGCACACAAAACTCCACACAGGCCAAAAAGTATTTGTATACTTTCAAGTAACATGAACCTAGACTGCGCCAAAAAACAATTCTCTGAAAGCATGCAATGTATGAATACATTTTGTTTGTTTAGTAAGACAACTAGAACATGGTGATGTTTACTAAAACTTCATATTGTGATAAAATTACAAATGGCATAGCAGCAATTAATGTAATATAGTTTTATTATAATTTAATTTTAAAGGTTCACACTGAAGTGGCTTCCCTTCAGTTTGAACAAACAAATATTGTACTTAAAAATTAATTGCTTACCAAACAAAACAAGTAGGCCAGCCAGAACAGCGGTCCAATGATAGAAGGATATCTCCAACATCAATTGATATATAACTGCTACTAACAGACTGCCCGCTAATGCCGGTATTAACCGTAGTGCAGTAACAGGAACATTTTCAGTATAGGGTGAACCAATTCGGTCAAAGGTAAAATTTCCATCATAGCCAGCAGCACGGCCAGCTAGGTATAATAGCTGCTTGCCAAGAGGTGGGTGGGCATCAAAAAAGAAAACTCCCTTTGTGTATAATGACACATAACGGCCATAGTGCAGTTCATCAAACCTACAAAGAAATTTTTATCTTTATTACAAACATTTTTTGAGTTATTTACATTACATAAAATAAAAAACTTGTTTTTTACTCACACAATATAGTGAGGTTCATCAAGGTGAGGTAGTCTTGTACACAGAGCCAAGGCTAATAAACCAAGGAATACCAGATTTATTTCCAAACGTAAATACACTCCCGGTGGTGACTGGCTTTTATTTTCTGATACATTTAAATTGCATTTTTCTTCACCTTCCGTAACATCATTTTGCTAAAACAAAAAAATATATGTGATATCTACAATTCATATGCACTACATATTGATTTGGTCAGTGAGTATCCTGACATAAACTATACCATCACTTCATTATTATATTTACAGAAGCACTTACAATTCCATCTTCGTAGGCTTTAATTAAAGTTTTTTGAGAATAACTGTTTCTTACAAGTTCGGTGACCTCTTTATTCTTATTTCTATTCATTAGTTTTTTGCCTTCTTTAGATATATCCATTTTCATAATTGATAATTCCGTATCTTTTTATTAAAACTTCATTCATAAAAACATTATAAAAAGGATCTATTTTACTTTTATTAAAATTGAACACGTAAATAATAAACACCTGTATCACTGTCAGTTTGCCTTTTGTCATTATCATTAGTCAAATAGTCACTGTCAGTGTTCAGTGACAAACAGTGGTACACCACATCGACAAAATAAACACTGATGCGCTATGTCATGTCTGAACTCTTTGCACATCACTGTCCAATTTTAAGATTTGAGTACACTATCTACACTGTACTAATAACGTAAAGTCTTATCCATTTTAAAACAATAAAATTATAATTTCTCGGAAGATATTTACTCAAAATTCTAACCTGCGGAGCGCTGAAGACTGGTACAAAAACTAGGTAATTTTGCTATCGCGCTCTGCAATGCTATCCTTGATCGAAAATATCGCCTCAGTCTGCTCAACTGACCGCAGTGCAACTTAGGCCTTATTAGTAAGTTAAAATCAGACTCATAGATAACATAAAGAAGCGCGGGAAAATGAAAAAAAAAATCACTGTCAGTCAAGTTGAAACTTGTTTGATGATTGATTTGAAATCAAAACCAAAAAATATATTATAAAAACTTGCGATACTTTCTATCAATTAGTAATTGTAAATAACAATTTAATCAATGATAAAAGCTTGTGAACTATAAGTTTCAAAAAGAGTAATGTAAGTATAAGGACAAAGTACTTCCCAGTTAATTCATTGATGGCTCGTCTTAGCACCGACCAACAAGAATGTTTCAGTTTATTGTATTGCCATGGTAATCTTACAGAATTAGAAAAAAAATAACAAGCAAATTTATACATTAATTAAAAATTATAAATAAAGCTCTAATGGCTTCTACCAAAGTTGATAAAGATAATCAAGAGGAAAGTACAGTTTCATGTCCAATTTGCAACAAAATGTATGAAAAAGCTGTGATTGAAGAACATGTTAATAAATGTTTATTTTTGAATTCATCTGAAGAGACTAAACTTAAGCAAAATAAAGCGGATCAACTTAATTCTAAAAGGAATAATTCACATTTAAACAACTCATATTTTCAAGAAAAACGACCGCGCATCAGTACAAGCCCTGGTTCTTCTAAAGCTGAAGTGAGTAAACCTAAATGTGACTTTCTGATATATGTAAATTATATTAAATATCTAACACTATACACATACCTTATTTTAGAAATCATCTTTAGCAGAACCTAGTAAGAAAACTCAGTTAAAGGAAAGTAAAAGCATACCTCTTGCTGAACGCATGAGGCCATTACACCTGGAAGATATAATAGGACAAGTTCAGGTGTTTGGCCCGGGGTCAATGTTAAGGTCATCAATAGAAAATAAAATCATACCTAACATGATTCTTTGGGGACCACCTGGCTGTGGAAAGGTAATTAAAGCTCTTCCTCTATTTATGTGTAAAAAGTCAGATGTGAAGAAATATAGGTACCTAGTGTATTAGTATTATTATAGAATAATGTTTTGATTTCAGACATCTTTAGCCAATGTAATTGCTAATATTTGTAAAGAGCAAAATAACCTGAGATTTGTTAAGTTATCTGCCACAATGGCAGGAATAAATGATGTCAAGGAAGTGGTGAAAATTGCAAAAAATGAAGCTCAGTTCAAAAGGCAGACTGTATTGTTTATGGATGAAATCCACAGGTATCTGGCATTAGACACCATTTTCCCTGGTAGTTAGAAAAACAAATATGATGTAACTATATGAAAATGTAATATTATTTAGCTTATCTACACATTGCAACTCTTAGTGAATTACATTTTCATTTTAAGTTGACATTGAAACATGACGTGAGAATACTGTATGAGATCAGTGGAATGGTTAAGAAAATAAAATTGTTTTGTTTATGCAGTATCGCGTCACGTCTCAGTGTCAATACATCTTATTATGAAAAGGTAGAAATAAACTTAATTTCAAATTTGTTATTTATTTATTTGATTGTTTTAGTTAGTGATTTCAAAGTTCCGTCAAATATGTACATAACAAGCTTTTTGTAACTGTGCCTAATGCATATTACTATATTAAAAATACCTTACTATTCCAGGTTTAACAAACTGCAACAGGATACATTCCTACCTCATGTAGAAACTGGTACAATAATTCTTATTGGTGCTACTACTGAAAATCCTTCATTTAGTTTAAATAATGCACTGCTAAGCAGATGCAGGGTTGTGGTGATGGAAAAATTAAGTGCTGATGATGTATTAAAAATACTAAAGCATGCTCTTATGAAGACTGGAAAAGCAGTAATTGGAAATGACAAACAGGACCTTGGAAAAACATCTTGTGAGCCACTACCGTATGTTTTGTCATATAATTCTTTTTAAAGGCTTGCTATAATTCTCTTTGTTGTGTCACCATTAAATTGTTTAGGTTGCCAGAGTGGTGGTAGACCGGCTACCACGCAATTTCACGTGAAAAACGAATCCAATAAGAAACAATGTGTGTTCCACAATAATTATTATTGTAATTCAGGGTCTGGCTTGGTTTGTTATATAGTATAAAATTTGTGTAACATATACATCACATCCTGACCAGCAATAATTTGTGGATTTCAAAGAATTTTTTCGTGCGGGAATCGAACCCGAAGCAACTGGTGGAGGGGATGGCGCCAACCATGCAGTCTTAGAAGATTGATTGATTGATTTATCCCCGAAGGGGTAGCCAGAGGTGCACACTACGCTATTTAACTCGTCGAGTACCGTATTTATAGACACAATTAAAGAACAATAGGTTGCGGTCACCGGTGACCGCTTGGTCTTTGACAGTTTAATGCCACTGTACAATGTAACACATAATTTTCACTATTTATATTATGAGTTTCATCTAATAGGGAGTGAGCCTATTACTATTTTTTTGGCACAATTCCAGAATCCGTGCTACTATGGATTTTTTTAAACTCAGTAATATTATGCCCGACCTGGGAATCGAACCCGAGACCCCTTGCCCAGCAGTCACACTTGCGACCACTCGGCCAACGAGGCAGTCTAGATTTGGTAACTTAGCAGACAAAAATAGTAAATGATGACCAGAATTCAAACACCAATTAATCAGTTTTTTTTATACTTAATATTTCGACGGTCTTAAGTAGACCCAAAAATTAGTTAATGACCACCAAAATTAGAACTGCGGTTTAATATGAATATCCATGATCACGAAAAAAAAAAATGAAATGCGATGAAAATGTAACACTAATCAATAAACAAATGACTACATTTGGTAAAAAAATCCATGATTTTAAAATAAAATTTTAAAATTGAAATTTTTAGCCAAACAAAAATTATTTTGATTTGGCCAGTACCTTGCAGAACGGCAATTTCATAGGTATAGACCTATTACAAGTATAGATGTGCATAGGTATGCATATTAAAAACTTCTATTATTTTAAAGGTGTATTGTTGAAGAAGCATCTTTGAAGTGGTTAGCAGAAATGTGTGATGGAGATGCAAGGGTTGCGCTGGGTGCCCTGGAACTGGCGCTTGCTGCAAGAGCGCCGGAGACAGCTCGGTCAGAACCAGCTATACTTAGGCTTGAAGATATTATTGATGGTATTAAGGTATGGTGACAATTTAATTTATAAAAATATTTTTATCTTACAACCTTTGGATTATTATTATTTCGATTTGATACAGGTGAAATTCGTAGGTAATATTGCCAATGCCAGTGTTGGACATCAAATTATTAATATTTATTTTATTCGTCTAAAAAAAATCCTTAAGAAAAAGTAACAATCCTTGTTTCTTATCTCTATATCCTTCAATCACGTTGTTTTTCACTCTTGTATAATTAATTTTACTCCACAAATAAGTACCTCTCATGGCTCTCCACAGCACTAATTCTACGTTTTTCTTTTCTGCCACACCCACCTCTCATTACCATTACTTAAATAAGTCACGTCGGATTAAGGACATTACTCCATTTGCACTTGTCTTAGTGGAGTATTCTAACGATTATAACGTACTATTGGCGCTGTCAGCAAAGACAGATCCTGTTCCCCAAATATACACATTTTCATCTGTTCCACTTATTCAGTTTCTATCATTTCTTTACATTCTGCCCTCTCTTTCTATTTCTATAGTCAGAGAATTTCTTTTTTTATTCCTTTTCTTTGAAAGGTCTCATTAATATCTATAGTGATCATTGTCAGCAATTCAGACGCCGAAGGCGCAAAATTTCGCACTTGACCATCCGCGTACAGCAGTGATCACAGATCCGTTCATCCACAATCACGCTCTTTCAAATTGTTTAAACAGCTATGCATAAATAGGTTGAATAGCCAAGGAGAAGCTACATAACCCTACCTCACACCGTGCTCGATGCTGAACTAGTCGTGCAGTAGGCCCCATTTACTCTGATACAGGTATTGGAATCCTTATTTAGGATTGAAGTTGACCGCATACCTAACATGACCATACGTCCCGCTTTCAGACTCTGTCCCGCTGTCCCCCGCAAGAGCAAAAATGTCCCGCTTTAGCTTTAAGATCTATCGTTTAAACGTAACAACTGTGCGGGCGACACAGTGCGACAAATACAAAAATACGACTTAGAAGTCACCCCACTTCTTAACTTTTTTGTGTTTAGTGCTTTGATTTGTGTTATTCAATCTTCTATAAACTTGTAAAACTCCCAAAACTTTGTTTTATTTTATAATTCCGGAGGTTTTTTTTTAGAACTATTCCTCAGTTGTCCCGCTTTGGCACAGAAAATAAATGGTCACGTTACGCATACCCCACATAATGGAAAGAGTTACCATAATTCATCCCTCCCTACTCTATCATAATTTTGAAGTCAATGAAAGCACAGAAAACCTTATCTATGTAGTTCTGCCAGTTTCTCATAAAAAATGTCTAGTTTTAAACTTTTTCTATCGGATAACGTTACCTACATTACGACGGCTAAATATTTTTTATTTGTATAAACTTGACAGTTTAAAATGGAAACTCGTCCACCGTAAATGCTCCTAATTAGGCCCGACATCCTACATTAAGCATGCATTGTAGACTTTAGAATTGATATACATATATTACAGAGATCACACATGGTTTACGATCGAAAAGGTGAGGAGCACTATAATACCGTATCAGCAATACATAAGTCAATTCGTGCAAGTGACGATAATGCTGCTTTATACTGGACCACACGGGCTTTGCACGGAGGCGAGGACCCTTTGTATATTGCGCGGCGTCTGGTGAGAGCTGCTTGTGAAGACATAGGTTGGTAAATTAAAAATCTATGTTGACTGGTAAGCAGAGGTACCTAAACTTGGAACACAATTGACATATTATTACTTACAACTGTACCGAGTATTACATTATTAATTGTATTTTCCTTCTTCTGTTTAACTGTCGTTGTGCTCTTTACTCTAGAAATGTTTTAAGAATAACTTCGAGCAATTAATGAAGTAAGTAGGTACTTAATCAGTTTGGAATTTATTTGTGGCAGAATAATAGTAACTGCCATATACATATTTGGTAAGCCTTTACTAAATAAATAATTGTATTTAGACTAGATTAATTTTTGGTATCCAGGTTTGGCTGACCAGTCTGCCATAGTGGAAGCTGTTGCATGTTTACAAGGGTGTCAGCAGCTTGGAATGCCGGAATGCGATGTTCTGCTCGCACAATGTGCTGTAAGACTTGCAAGAGCACCTAAAAGTACAGAAGTATACCGAGCTATGAAAAGATGTCGAAAATCATTAATAGAAGCAAAAGGTCCTCTCCCACCTGTCCCGCTTCATTTGCGTAATGCACCCACAAAGTTAATGAAACAACTAGGTAAATGTATTGATATTTTTTATTATTACTAAGTTAGTAATCAACTAAAATGTGTATTTTGAATAAATTTATATCAGGTGAAAATTATTTTCAGGTTATGCAAGAGGTTATAATATGCTGCATAAGGATAAATCAGGGTTAAACTATATGCCTGAGGGAATGGAAAGTAGAAACTTTTTTCAAGATAGTGATAGTTCTAATGAATAGTGTAGAAAATTAAAATCATTTAAATACTAGGTGTCAATGTTTTATTTGGGATAATCTCATTTCACAATTGTATGACATGGTAAAAATTTACTATATACAGATGCACACATAAATGTATGAAATATTACAAATTTACCTATAGCATTGTACCTTTCGTAACATGAACTGCGCTTGCCACGATTTCCGATCCTAAATTTATAAAAATAAAATAACAGTATTTCTTACTTTACAACATTTGCTACTGCACACATTGTGCACAATTTACATTACATCTGATACGGCTTTAATTTTTTGGGTTCTCAAGTTATGATAATTGTAAATGTTTTAAGAACATTCTATTTGATCATTCATATATCAAAGACAGTAGGTAGTTTAAGTAGCGATTGCGACGCTTAGTACAGTAATAGAAAACGTAAATAAAAGAACTGGTACCTATGTACAAATCAACTTGAAAACCATTAAATAAGTCACCATTCATAAAACAAGGAAATTGAATGAACTGCTTGTTCGTAAATCATAAACAGCTCAATGAGGAGAAGTTTTATCAGAAATTTATAAAATAAAATAGTACTTTTTTAGCATTGAAAGTTTCAAAATCTATACAAGAAACTCTTTAACTCCCATTGAACACTAATCTTAACCTATAACTAATTAAGCTAAGGAGAACATTGTAACTAAATAAAATAAATTAGAATCAGACTTCTAATTTGGATCCTAATCATGGGAGGAACACTATTCCGTTTGGGTCCAAATATTTTAAATCAATACTACATCACTGATTAAAATTTACGTTAGAAATTCATAAAATAAATTCCATGTAAACATGTAAGTGGAACGTTTTCAGATTTAAGAAAAAATTAAAATAAAATATAGATATAGCTAATGCTAATATTGACCTTAGAAGATATATTCCGGACCGGCCATGTCGATCGCCCAACGGAATTTATCACGTTGAGTTTTGTTGTAGATTTTTTCGATTGGTACACCATGTTTTTTGCACCTAAAAACAAAAACATTTTAGTTATAGTTATGTCTAAAATCTACATTTTATTCTTTACTGTTAATAAAGAGTGCCGGATTATGCTTACCAAGCCACTGATATACGTGGATCGAGATAATTCAGCTTAGAAGTACCAAGAGCAATTGTTTTATTTTCGTCACGATCAGTTTCTTGGAGTTCTAGTTTTTTCAATTGCTCTCGCAAACGTTCCAGAGCTTTCTTCTTCTTATCACAAGCAAGCTTCTCTTTAACAGAACCTCGTTTGGCTGCTTTTGATGCCTCTCTTAAGTCTTCCTCAGCTTCATCCACTTGATCACGTTTAGCTTGTATTTTCTCTTTCAAAGCCTCCATTGATTTTGAATGACCTGGAATTTTATATTGTATAAACTGTATAAAATGTTTTAACTGACGACAGTCATTTAAACTCGTGGGATACCACGGAAACGCAAGCGTTGCCGCTGGCAAAGCTAGTATGCAAGATATTTGATAAAAAAAAATATGTACGAGTGATTTTGCTTTCATTAATCCAACTCAATAAATCTTTTTTTAATTGAAAAACAAAAACTATCTTTACCTTTGGGAACAGCACGTTGATGGTTACAAAGTACTGCAACTGCGCGGTTTGCACGGTTATATGCTAATATTTTTTCTGGTATTGATGCTGATGCATCAGTAAGTTCGTCTAATTGTCTTTGTAATGTGATAGATGCATTGTATGTACGGAAGACTTTTGCAGTCAATCCAGGCATTAAATCTTTTAAGTGTTCATTCAGGGTTTGTGTATTGAGTCTATCAAAGAGATCATCACTGTCTTTTTTATTTTCCATGAATAACTCGAGATTCTTAAAGACACGCTTTTCGACTGGTACTTCATTATAGTACCTGATAGAATCTTTACCAAGAAAATCAAACACAACAACATATTCTTTCCCATCTTTTTCTTTGTGCAGTGCAATGTGTTCAACGCGCAAGGAACAACAGCCCACTGTGTCTGCCTGGTCATCGTCCTTTTCATTGCCTGCTCTCAATGCCAGCTTATCAATGAAGTACAGAGCAACAGCTCTTTGACGAACGCGCATTTCCTTTGCTTTCCAATCATTTTTATAGTTTTCTCTGATCACATCAATACATTTGTGGAGTTTTCTAGCTGTTTCATATTTTTGCCAATCTTTTTCACCTTTTAATTTTGAACTAGGATTTAACATGACATACTTCGCTTGTCCCTGTACATTTTCTGTCCATGAAGCTAACCAAGTAACAGTGTTGTCATGTTTAACTTCTTTCCATTTGTGTCCAGGTGGTGCTTTAGGTATGTTACTATCTTTAGAGCAGTTAATAAGGACATCCTCTGGCATTACACGTCTCTTCAACATACCCATTTTGGGATGTTCTCCACGACCTCTAAATAACCCAGGAGGCTCTATCCTAAAATTACCAATTTTCTCTTTATGGCCATCTATAATACAGAAACCATATTCTTTTTGGATTTCATCATTCTTGGCCTTTAAAGCCGCTTTTTCTTCTTTTGTTCGATTTCTATTCTTTTCTGAAAGAGCTTGGAAATAAGCATGCATTTCCTTAAAATTACACTTTGAGAGATCTTTAATTATCTTTGTTTCTTCATGTGTCATTACTTTACGCCAGTCATTGAAGAAGTTATTGTTAAATGTGGATTTGGTTGTATATTCATGATCTAACATTCGAGCATAGAATCCCGCTACTTCTTCAGCATCTTGAGAGAGTCTCATCTCTTTACCATCATAATAAAATTTAACATTTTCAGGTAGAGGTTCATAATCTGGTGCAAAAACAGGACCTTTGTGCTCCAAAAACTTCCATTTGGTACCATCATCTTTCTTTTCTTCTTCCCACCTACGAAAGTAATGACATTAATAAAACCTTGTCAGTAAGTACATAAACATATTAATTTTATATACCTACAAACAACTGAACTTATAACGGCGTATTTGCTTTTGTAGTATTGTATTCACATATGTTATCTTACAAAACGATTTAATTTCTACTAAAACTTTTATTGACACATTTCTGAAGAACATTTTCAAATCATAACCTCAAAATTTTGGCACATTGTGCTCCCGTAACGCCATCTATTAGTTATCCAACGAACTATTACAGAGAGGTTATATTAATGTTTCAGTAGGTACTTTTTATGTAACAAGATAGAGAATTACTTACCATTTCCAAACTTCAGGTTCATCATCGTTTTTTTTCTTGCGTTTGGTAGGACTGGGGCCATTATTGGGCTCTGATTTTACTTGAGTTTGTTTAGCTTTTATTGGTTTTGATTTCTTTTTTTTGGGTTTTTCTTCTTCATCATCCATATCATCGTCGTAGGCAGGTTCTAGGAAAGAAAATAGTATGAATTTAGAACACAAAAACGATAATGAAATGCACTGAAAAATTATTTTATAATAATATTAAATACCTTTTTTAATTTTCTTTTTGGATTTCTTACGCTGGAGTAATGGAATGTCTTCTTCACTCTCACTAGGAGCACGACGTTTGTTGCGAATGCGCTACATCAAAAAGAACATTTGTAAATACAAAATTTATGGAAATTGAACTTATTTAATGTTTTTAAAAAATGTGATGTTTACCGATGGAGAATCTTCTTCACTTTCTTCTTCAGGTGGTAGTTCTGAAAGTGGTTCATCCTTAAACTGTGATAGAGAATAATCACAAGAAGAAGCTGTTGTGTTTAAACCTCCAAAATCATTGCTTTCATCATTTTCTTGCTTGATATCCACCTGATCTATCTATAACATAGAAATTATATTTTAAGGAAAACATTCGGAGTCAATTACAACATTACAATAACTGTATCAGTTAAATACCTGCATGGGTTCTTCCTTGATGGGGGAATCTTGATAGTCTGATTCAGATTTGATTTTGTCATGTTTTTCACTACTGCTCTTATCTTTGCTTTTACTGGAGCTATAAAGCATTAAAAATATATGTCTTTAAATAATAAATAATTTACATTTATTTACCTATAACAAATATATATGAAGTATTTATCATATAAGATTTCTGAACTATTACATAAAATTAATAATAAGTAAATTATGTCAATCAACATACAGTATTGTCATAATTCACTTATTTAATCTCAGGGTTAATGTAAGTACTAGACATACAGAATCTAAAAGATAAAAGATTTCTTGAGCTAATTTCTAAATAAGAACATTAGCAATTACACTAAAGTAAATTATTACTGATTCACAAATATAATTTTGACACTTCTTATTGTTGACAATTAAATTGTCAAGTAACTTTTTATTACAAAAATTGCTTCTTTTAATGTCTTTTGCTAGAGCATATAGGATTTATGCAGTCTTATTTACAATTTAGCAAATCTAACCTGTGTTTTTCTTTAGAACTTGAATGCTTCTCTTTATCACTGCGATGCTTGTCACTTCTGCTGCGATCTTTTTCACGTTCCTTATCCTTGTCTTTTGACTTATGATCTTTGGATGAACTTTTGTGATCTCTGTCTTTATCCTTTGAAGAAGATGATGAGGATGATTTCTTATCATTGCTACTGCTGCTCTTGTGTTTGTCCCGGTCTCGGTCACTACGGTCCTTGTCCCTGTGCTTGTCTCTATCACTGCGATGTTTGTCCTTGTCGCGATCTTTGTCTTTGCTACTGTGCTCACGATCACTGCGCTCTTTATCTTTGTCGCTTCGATCTTTGTCTTTACTGGACGATTTATGCGAGCTGCTATGATTTTTACTAGAGGAGTGCTTGTCTCTATCACTGTAAATAAAACATAAGTATTGCAAATTTCATAGATAAACCCGATGAACAATGTAGAGGACATAATAATACAGAACCTTCTGGAAAACTAACCTGCTGTGTTTAGACGAGCTTTTGTGGTCCCTATCTTTGTCTCGGTGCTTGTCTTTGCTTGAGGACTTATGACTGGATTTATGCTTCTCGGAACTGCTGTATCCGTTGTGAACACCGTTCACGTGTTCATTTTTATTACCATTTACCTTTCCCTGAGAACAATATGAGTTTTGAAACATTAGCAAAAATTGACACACATTGTCATCATATAGTGGAATTTACTAATGTAACGAAACTCTATAATTAATAAGGTCGATTTTAATTCCCGAAACTTTCCAAACCGACGCTTAGCTTCGGCTTGTTCGAACACTGTAGTTGACGCCATATTGGGACTTAGAAAATTTTCGCTTCGTGGAGACTTGCACTCGAACAGTAAACAGCATAATTCAGATTAACGTGAGGGTAAAATGTAATATAACTGATAAATAAGGAATATAGCAATTTAATTAACCACTTACTGATTCACAATCATTGTCGCTAGCGGGATTTTCGACACTCATTTTGCCTACGTATTACCGACCGACGTTAGTACAATACGATTACATGAGGCCGGTCAAGCAAGCGCAAATTCTAAGTGCTGAGAGGTGACGAATGCGCATGCGCCTTTCCTTCTAAGATTGCAGACAACTTCAGGTGAATTGGTTCAATGTGCTAAATAGGACGTTGTTCAGGGCAGTTTAGAGTGTAGAATACGTTATGGTGTTGCAGCGCTCAAAATATAGAATGTACATTTTTTGTAGTCAACCCAGAAGTCACGCAGAAAGGATAATTAAAAAAAATGTATTGAAAAAATGAGAAAAGATAGCTAGTCAGATTTTTTTATTTTATAGAAATATGTACTAACATGCGTCGCCTCGTTTGGATTTCCAACACAAGTTTATATCGGATACCTGGTTACTATAAAGTTAGGTACACTCAGACAGAACATAAACACATTGACACGGTAACGTGGGAGTGGGAACCCTTACACAGCACACGCACACATTAAAAATCACTGACATTTTGGTGCCTCAATCATTTCTAAGTGTTAATACATAATACACAATAAAACATTTTTTATTTTTTTTAACCATTGCATTATTTAATTATTGGTGCAATTATCACATTTGTAACTATCAGTCCTTGCAGTTTTTTTTATTGTTATTCTGATTTATTTTAAGGGATTTTTGTACACATTATGTGACGATGTCAATGCCATCGTGCTTGTACACAATAAATATATTTGAAACCTAAATACTGATTATTACCTACTACTACTTACTTATTTATTTTATTTTCAGCCATGATCGTCCCACTGCAGGGCAAAGGCCTTCCTAAAGCTTTACTACTACTTAGGCTACTAACAAAATAATTAGTCCTTGTAAAATTATCTTCGTTTACTTTTATTTGTATCCAATGATTCGTCCATATGCATTATTTGCAGCGGAAAGTCTACCAAACCGAAAATAGTAATGTAAACAATAATAATAATTATGTATGTACCTACTACATAACCTTTACGCAAATTTAAGATAGAGGATACATAGGTACATACATAACTTCACGCCTGTCTCCTGTGGGGGTGGGTAGAGAGAGACTATGGAACACCAATTGCTACGATAAATGAGAATGTTAATTAACTTGCAACACGTTTTCACAATGAGTTGTAAATCAAAGAGTATAGGGGAAAGGGTAAGTATAGGGGAATTGTAAATTATTTACAGCGTTTAAAGTGTAATGACAAGTAAAGCAAAGAGTATAATAAGTATTTTTTTTATTTTTTTTAAGGGGGGAAAATCATCGAATGACTGCTCCCGCCTGGGTGAGGCGGAAGGGAGTGTCAGACTCTTACTGACTAAAAACAACCCCGTTCCTTCTCCTGCACGTCGAGCCGGAGCCCCGGTTACCCGTTAGGTTCTCCGCGACTCCGAATCGGCATCGGCCCTATTGGGCCCCATCTGTGGTGGTCTGATGGCTCTTTGAGGCGCGCGCGGAACGCGACGCGCCGTACGCTCGGGTCTGTTTCTGGTCGGATGGGGAGCCACCCATGCTCGCCGTCCGCAGGCCCGCGCTTACGGTGGCCGGAGATCGTCCCGCGATCCCCGACGCCCGGTGTGTCCTTCGCGATGGCTGGGTTGCGAGGAGGCAGCGCTTCGCTGCCTCACGCGTCCCGCCTCCTCCTTAGCTAGCATAGCTGCTTCGCAAAAGGAGGAGACGGCATCCCAGTCCCCCTCGCTCCGCATCATGGCCTGCACTAGGCCCGGACGCGAGAGGTCGCCATCGCCGATCACTTCCCTGAGGGCACGGCGGTGCTCAGCCCACGCAGGGCATTCCGCTACGGTGTGTTCCACCGTGTCCTCAGGGCGGTCCTCGCAGTGATGACACCCGGTCGTTTCCTCCCGCCCCATCAGACACAGGTACCTCCCGAAACTTCCATGTCCGGTGAGGACCTGCGTCAGGCGGTAGGTGAGGACGCCGTAGCGTCTGTCAAGCCACTCCTCAAAGAGGGGTCTTACCGCTGCAATGGCAGCGAGCCCAAGTATAATGAGTATAGGGGAAGTAAAGTCACACGACAGACTGAAGTCCCTCGTGTCAATGTGTGTCTGAGTTCTGCGTGTAAGTCTATAATGCTGTCATTGACTGTGTCTGACTTTTTTAACGTCCTTGGTTTTAGGTACCTGCTAACTGTGTTATAGTGTTTGCCGAAAAACGTGTCACAAATTTTAAGCAATACCCAAAATGGGGCAAAGAATAATCAGGGTGTTTACAGTTTTCTATTTCAGTAATAGGACGGATGTAGAAGTGGGTATTTTGGGTATACCTTACATGTACACACAGAGTAAGAAGTAAGTAAGAGCCTACAAGTGGCAAGTTAAAGCAATGAGCGTTAATAACCACGCTTCCTCAATGCGGGTTGGCTATTTCGGAAAAAAAATAATGTAGTATAAGATAAGAATAAAGAGTGATTAATATGTTTTCTAAAACCTAACATTATTATAGAAACCAGTGGCGTATACGGTGAAGGAAAACATCCTAAGGAAACCCTGGGCTTATAAATTCTAATTATAAGTTTGTAACCGCCAACCCGCATTGAGCAAGCGTGGTGATTAATGCTCAAACTTTCTCCGTGTGAGAAGAGGCTTTGCTCAGCAGTGGGCATTTGTAGGCTGTTGATGATGATGAGGTGTTACATTGTTCAGTGGCATTAAGTGCCGTAATGTGCATCTCTGCCTACCCTCCGAGGATAAAAGGCGTGATGTTGTTATTTTTTTTATAAAACTGAAGAAATTTTTTGAACTAGAAGTACAAGTGTTCTGTGGTTTGAACACGTTAATCTCCGTAAATACCTACTGGTTCGATTTGAATAATTCTTTTTGTTGTGTTAGTTTGTCCATTCATCAGGAAGGCTATAGGCTACAAAACACCACGCTACAATTAACAGGAGCCAATCAGCGGGTAAAACCGCGTTGGTTTACCTAGTAAGTAGGTTATCTCATAAATTAGAAAGTAGGCATTATATTATCATAACGCGGAAAGTCACATTAGGGTATTTGCAAGGTTTCGAACCTGCATCAACATGTGTTTAAAGCGAACGTCGTAAAAGTGGACCAAATTGCGAATAGGTATAACTTTTTTGTCGTGTTGGTAAGGGTAAGCTATTATAATAATAAACAAAATCGGAAATAAATATTAGTCATTATTATATAATATGATATTACCGGTAATCTGAATAATTTCAGTATTCGGTGTGTACAATACATTGGTGTACTTGTTTACAGGATAATGGGGTGATCCGCGACATGCTGGCGAGTGGTCAAGGAAAATGCGTGAATATGATTTTAAGCCATTACAGCAATAATTACAGAAATAAGTAATTTTATCAACGATATTTTATTGAGTAAGATACCTAGATAGGTACATCATTATGTTAAATATAAAATAGTACAGTCATTAATATTGAATTCATTAGCAAAGGCTATTAAAATACCATAATAGTATTATGATACTATATCTGAAAATACATTGTATGAAAGTAGTAAATAAATCAATGTGTATTCATCACATAGTTTAAGCTTTTGAGCTTATAGCCTTTGTTGTGCATTTATTTTAAAACTGATGTTGTGAGTCGTCACTTTTTACATGAATGTAGTTAGTATGTATAGGCACTAAAATCCTCAGTTGTTTAACAAATTATCTTTTTATTATAGTATATCCTAGTATATTATCTACTATTCGATTTTACTAATATTTTTCAATAAACCTTTTATAATTTATTCTTCAGAATTCATCCTAGCATTCATATTTACCTTCATATTAGGTAGTTCTTCCAGAGCAAGAAAAACAAACAATACTTATATAACAAAAATGTCAAGGTGCTATTTACTGACAAAATTGTCATTAATATTGAACCTACCTAAATGCTAATAACTAATTTTTATTTGTTGTTTGGCTTTCTTCTCTTGGCTTCGAATATACAGGTTTCCCGTTTGAATCCCAAGTACTCTTCAGTTTTCTAAATGCAAATGCCATGTACACCGCTAAAATAAAATAAATTCAAATATTAATATCAAAAGCACATTGAATCCTTCTAGATGTAAAAGAATTTTAATTTTGTATACTTACTGGCTACTTCCCATTCACTTGTACTCATAGTGCCAATTCTGTCGCGTTCAGTCTTATTTTCTTTGCTTTCCCAGTATTGCTTGGCATGTTCATATTCTTTTTCATCAGCAATCAGTTCTTTTCCTGGAGGTGGAGGATAACTTTCAAAGCACACAATTTTTTGTAACAGGTGCCTGTATTTCTCAGAATGATCTTTAAAGAAATCAGCAAATCTTGCTTTATATATTAGTTCTAAACCATAATCCGAAGCGAGTTTAGTAAATAGTTTGAAATTCACTAAAAACTCTGGGCAGTCCACAACTCCCTCTAAATGAAAATCATACTTTCCCCCGAATAGGGGATAGCCTTTCTCAACATCAAAAAGCAATTTAATATTATAAATTCTATTTCCAAATGAGCCATCAGATTTTTTACTTCGGGACACAATTTCATAGGCATCAGGGATAGTCCCAAAAAAGTAACCACCTGGTTTTAAACACTCTGAAATGTTAGTGAGCATTCTCCTTGCTTGAGGTAAGCTTTCAAAACTATAGTGCAGTCCAAATTGGCAACTCACAATATCAAAACTTATAGAAGGATCTCTATATTTGTCTCTTAATGTGGCCTTAGAACAATCGGCTGCAATGAATTCAGCTGAATACAGCCGACCACCCCTTGTCCGTGCTCGCAGTTCATCATATCTTGTTTGACATTGTTGAACTGATACCTCGGCTATATCAGCAAATACCACATGTTCTACTCTGGCTTTTTGCCACTTACTTAGATCACCACCCTTTCCACAGCATATATCTAGCACTCTCAATGATCTGCCGTAGTCTTTCTCTCTAATTTTGTCGGTGTACTCCTGGATTAGTACACTTTTAACCCAATTATTAAAATTACGGAGGTAATATATGGGAGAATTAAATCTTTCTCTCAAGCCTTTTTCTTCCAGATGGTTATAGTGGGCTGCAACCACAGAGCTATGTTCTTCGGTAGCAGGTTTTTGGAGAGGGGGTTCATTGTTGTCGTCATTATGATCATCAGCACTCCTTTTCATGGCTTTTTTCACTTGTGTTGATTCAACCACGGAATCACAATATTTTTCTTCTCTATCCTGAGTAGTATACGACATTTTCTGTTATTAATTAAGTTACCTGTTTAAGTATAATACACATTACTTGAAATTCGTAACTTGAATGATTTTACAATTTTATTATCGTAATACAATTAATCTTTTTTTTAGATGATACGACCTCGTACTCGTAGCCACTCGTTACATTCAATAAAAGTTGTAATGCACGTTTTACGTCACACGTCGTCACTGTCAAATGTCTATGTCTAAATCATAGAGTATAAAATAATGTGTGTTATTACATAGATAATATATGGATGGATGGATATTTTTATGTATCCATGGTTATATTATATTCAAGTCGAGAATGTTGTTTTTATTTAAATTATATTGATCTCTAGTATCATCAAGAATATTATTACTCAATTATTTTGCCTGTGACCCTGTTACCGGGACTTGCAGGTATATTAATATTTTGGAATATTGAATATAGGAAAGGAGTTTAATAAAAAAATCTACTTTGTGGAGAAGACCAGGCAAGTAGCAGTTACTATAATGACTTCCATTTACTTACACCTTAGCAAAAAGAGTTTGACGCGGTGACAACTGGAACTAAATTGACTTGACTTAATCATCCACTTTGGGCCATATCCCATGAATAAACAATCATCTAAACATAGTACATCTTATTTTTAAACTCGACAAAAATAACAAATAAATATCAAAACCGGTTGAGTCATTAGTGTACCAGGTTGCCACAGGTTCGATACTGGCGACCTCAATTATTCCAACCTCTTTTTTACCAAACTGTACAAGCCAAAACACTGTTTTATGTAAACTTTCTTATCACTTGTACAAATTGTACTCTTGTACAATGTTGTACACACGGCCACACATCAATCTATACAAAACCAGTTTATCCTGGTGTCGCGTCGCATCATCTTTCTGCACATTTAACGTTCAGTTTATACTGGTTATGTATAGCTCGATGTGTAGCCGTGTGTACAATTATAATATTATTTTACATTGATCGTTAGTGACATCACATCATCTATATAAGTTGCTTGGTGCTCCCACATTGCTATCAAAAATATAAACGTCAAAATATTACTTCTGCTTTGACAGCTTCGTGGGTTAATATATAGTTGAAAATACGGCTCAGTGAGGGAGGGCCGAGGGGCAGGATTCAGTTCCTGTTTCGGTCAAGTAATAGGGATTGTTCGGTTTTCTTAAATTTTTGCATTAGTTTTGGCATGAGTTCTATGGACATGGATGAATAATAGTGGACATTTTGTTAAGATTTGCCAGATTGCCTCTGTACGTGTCTTCGCTGAATAAAAGAAGAGATGCATTTAAATGATGTAATTCGTTTACGTACTTCTACTTTGTTATGAATATTTCAATATTTCTGATACCTAGGCACAACTAACTTATTGGTATATTTTTTTTTTTAAGGGGGGAAAATCATCGAATGACTGCTCCTGGCCTGGGTGAGGCGGAAGGGAGTGTCATACTCTTACTGACTAAAAACCACCCCGTTCCTTCTCCTGCACGTCGAGCCGGAGCCTCGGTTACCCGTTAGGTTCTCCGCGACTCCGAATCGGCATCGGCCCTATTGGGCCCCATCTGTGGTGGTCTGATGGCTCTTTGAGGCGCGCGCGGAACGCGACGCACCGTACGCTCGGGTCTGTTTCTGGTCGGACGGGGAGCCACCCATGCTCGCCGTCCGCAGGCCCGCGCTTACGGTGGCCGGAGATCGTCCCGCGATCTCCGACGCCCGGTGTGTCCTTCGCGATGGCTGGGTTGCGAGGAGGCAGCGCTTCGCTGCCTCACGCGTCCCGCCTCCTCCTTAGCTAGCATGACTGCTTCGCAAAAGGAGGAGACGGCATCCCAGTCCCCCTCGCTCCGCATCATGGCCTGCACTAGGCCCGGACGCGAGAGGTCGCCATCGCCGATCACTTCCCTGAGGGCACGGCGGTGCTCAGCCCACGCAGGGCATTCCGCTACGGTGTGTTCCACCGTGTCCTCAGGGCGGTCCTCGCAGTGATGACACCCGGTCGTTTCCTCCCGCCCCATCAGACACAGGTACCTCCCGAAACTTCCATGTCCGGTGAGGACCTGCGTCAGGCGGTAGGTGAGGACGCCGTAGCGTCTGTCAAGCCACTCCTCAAAGAGGGGTCTTACCGCTGCAATGGCAGCGAGCCCAAACTTATTGGTATACTAGGTGTTGCCCGCGACTTCGTCCGCGTAGAATAATGACTTCTGGCAGAATTTAGGCTTTTGAATTAGTCTTTATCAAAGGATATTCTACGGTAACGAATGTCGTCTGAATTGATTCAGTATCTAGTATAGGGATCCTCCCCTGTTGATGATAGCGTGATAATATGTAGCCTATATGTTGACCCGACTTGTCAGTAATAATCATGCAAAATTTAAAGTAAATCCATGCAGTACTTTTTGAGATCATCCTGGGCATACATACAAACAAACAGACACAAATTCTAAAAACCATATTTTTGGCTTCAGTATCTCTTGTCGATCACGCTAAATGTATTCTTTTATTTAAAAAATTATCAATGTACAGTTTTGACTTTTCTACGATTTTATTTTATATGACGATGACGTTGTTCAGTCAGAATCGTAATGATTCTTTTCCACTTATAAATAACTTTTAAAATAGGATATGCACCTTAAAAACGTACTTTACCTATGTATACGAAATACTTTAATACACTGAAGTCCTAACATTACCTGCCACGCAAGTATAGGTTATTGAGATTGGCTGCATATGGACCTTAGCGTCATTAGAAAGAAAGAAAAAAATATTTGTCAGAATGTAGTTGCAATAGGCGTTTTATGTAATTAATGTCTTTGTCTCACACATTCTACCGAATCGGTGTACCAATATTAGAATTATTTTCTCCTTATATATATTTTATGCACTATTCTACAATAATGTTCTTGTAATCTTTGTCATTAGAGATGACGAAATGGGGTATTTTTTGTTATATTACTTTATTATTATTACTGAATGGATCGGGATGAGATTTGGATCAGGGCAGGAGTAGATTATGGTTTGGAATACAACATAGGCTACTGGGTAAGTTTTTATCCCAAGGGATCGCGGGAGCCGCTGAAAATACAACTAATTAAGGTTTTATGATTCGTAGAAGAGATAGGCAGAAAAAATTGGCTTATGTCTTACTGCTTTAGGTCATATATTTAGTCTTATACCATACTAGGTCCGTTTTTACACAAATTTAATATGGATAAGTGCATAATATGAAAATGGGTATGCAGGCGATAGTGAGACAGGGCAGGTCCGGAGGAGCCAGGCTGGCGGGGTGGCGAGTGCGGCGGCGAGGCGGGGGCTTTGTGCCGTTACGTGGTGCGCGCGCGACGGCAGCGGTGCCACGACGCGGACGTGCTTCACTCAGTTCGTGCGCGAAAGTCGTTACCTGCGTCACACGATAGTACTTGCTCACACGCAAACATTATTTCTACAGCACGCTAAAGCGAAACGAATCAATTCTTCAGTCAAGAGTATCATTGTTTGAATTTAAGTGATCGAGTGCACAGGACCCACAAACACCTAATACAACAATAACCTTGTGAAGTCGTGAGAAAGCGCGTGACGTCAGAGACACCGGCCACCGCGATCATATGTTGGACGCGGATGCAGTGATGGAATGTGGAGTGTTGTTATGGTGACGTGCGATGGTGCAGTGTCTTGGATTACCTGGCTTCTAGCTGCAACGCCGCCACAGCGCGGTTCCTCCACGGGAACCATGCGTAGAAAAAGATGAGCCAGGATGCTGAGAGCTTGGTAATATCATTTTTGTAGATCCACTTCGTACTAACATTACCACAATTTGTTAAGATTTTCCATTCCCTTTGCGGCAGGGTAATGAGCGAACAGCTCGAGGAGCTGTCTGACGACTACTGACAACAACAGTACCTATTAGATCACTATTGAGAAAATTGCAGAGGCGATTTCAGTTTGGCTATTTATAATGATGATGATATTATAGACAGTAAATGTTGCTTACTTAATACATGAGTGTTTACTTGAACTGGTGACGTTCAAGGCTGGCTACATACATGCTGCTTACTAGTGAGTTTTAATAGTATCTGCCTATTTGGTAAAATAAGCAATAAACATTATAAGGCAAATAACTAGATAATGTTAAACAAATACACATTAAACGAAATATTTACCGGTTACATTGATAGTAAAAATAGCCTTTATCACATGACTAACGGGAAAATAAAGAGGTCCTGAAACAATACGAATATCCCATAGAGCGGAATAATTTTTGCTTAGGGACCTAGAAATAATTCGTGATAAACCATGGTATAAATCATGACACTTTCTGCAGGGAAGTTTTATTTGTTTCTGTATATTGTATTCAACATGTTCTTAATTGGAAATACTTTACGGTCGGCCGATGATTCAAAGCGTGGGAGTTAGTTTTCGCCCACAGTAGTGAATAGGTCAACTTACATCTAATGTGACGTCTGTGGTACCCAATAAGAGGCATTAAAATTTTAGCTGTCCATGCCGAAAAATTAATTTACGGAATGAAAATATTTATAATAAAAAGTTTACTTTATCGATCCAGAACCAACATCGTCATTAACATTCGAGCGGTCACAGTCATGCCTGCGTTGACAAAGTAGGCTAAGTTAACAATAACTTCCGCTTGATTGGTGTGCAAAACAAAAAATATTGTTAAGTAATCGGTACATTGTTATTTCATAAAAAGTATGGCACAGATGTTGATTGCGATATTTGTTTTATTATTTTGGCAATAACGCAAAATGTTGAAAGTGTTCGTGGGACTAGTGGCAGCAACTTGCACACTGTACACGCGCGCATGCTCCAGTTTCTGAACCATTGTTAACTTTCAGATTTCCTTCTGTTCTATGATAAATGGTACCTTTGATATATCATCATCGTCAGACAGTAAATGTGTCATAGTTATCTATCGACTTGTTATCTTATTACGATGGCATGATCAAACCTAGGTAGTATAGGAGTATAAACTCAGCAGGATTTT